TCTTAAATAACACAGGTGCCACGAGTAGGCGGCGAGTAGGACTTCCATTTCAGAGGCCATGTGAGAGCGGACTCTTCCCACTATCGGCCGCACCAGGGCAAATATATATTCGTTCTTTTATAACAGTATGGTAGTTCATTTAAGGTAATCGACAACACAGTTTTTACTTAAACGTTGTGTTGGTTAGCACTCGACAGCAAGATATATCTGTAGTCTTAAGGAAACAGATATTCACTGTAGAATTGAGACTCACGTTACCATTGAAGTATCAGAGTGACAACTAATCTTTTGTAGGGCTATAATATTAACAACTAATTGATCATATCATGTTTTTTCTGCTTCTATAGTGTTAATCAAATCCTATCGATCAAGTTAGTTGTAACTGACAATATTTTATTTAATTATTAACCTGGAAAGTTAGCATCTTGGCATACTGAAAACATTCAAAGGGTATGTTTTCGATAGATTCCTCAACGTAGATAGTCTAAGTTATTTTATAGTTAAAAATGACAATTAGATATTCTGTCCGTTTGAACAAATGCAAATGTGATAGTAAAAGATGTAGAAGATCAAAAGTTATATGCATAAGGATACACAACCCGAGATTATTGTGTCATGTTGTAGTTATTGCGATCTCTAAGCTGAATGGATTAGTTGTACAACTTACATTGTTCATAAGATCAATGGGAAATGAAGTCAAATTTACCTGTTGCAACGATATTGTTCAGAAGAACAATTAAATCTTCACAATCAATTCACCAAGTTCAGAGATCACAACATTTTCATCCTGAGCTGCAAATCTTCTCAATCATCTCACGTGTTACGTTCTCCGAATAGAAATATTCCTTTCAAGCAAGCTCTACATTTTACGTTAGTGAGATTAAAGATAAATAGGATGTTGTAACTGGCAACTGGATCAAAATATACACAACTCACTGGTCAATATATGCAATTATTGTTATATCGATTGGCTCGCCTATTAGAGAACAGTGAATTTATTGATCGCCCAATGATACACAAAAGCCGTATGAGCAGTCTTGATTACTTATCAGTCCTGCTATCTGCCTACCCAGCCAGTTAAGTCCAGAACACCAATAACAGCCTCTACAATATGAATCATTATTCTCAAACAAACTGACCATATCGTACCATAAAATAAAAAATAATATTTGTACAAGATTTGGCCAAATGTGGCTGTGAATAGGTAGGGAGAGTAATCAATAGACTAGTAATAACTCAAGAACGGTTAATCGTATAATAATAGTTCATAGGTCAAAATAAAGAATATAAGAAGAGGGATACGAATATGAATATTTTAGTTACTTAACAATTATATAGTTGGAAATATACATATCATATTGGTTCATAGATTGTTCTCGAAGTTAACATTTATAAATCTCCACGGGATATAACATTTTGTAACTTGAATTTGTACGTTAAGACTTTCACAAACCCTTGGCTTCATCTTGTAAAATGCGTTGCTTTTCATCTCGAAATTTCTCAGTCATTGTTTGCTTAAACGTGTACTATTTAATACTCGACTGATAAAAATGCTCTGGCCGAAGTTCCACAATTTCTAGCATTTATCCAAACAATAAAAAAGGTGTCTACACATAAATTAATATTCAGAGAACTAAATGTATCGTAATAGTCTTTTTATTCAGATATCATTTTCGAACAAGACAGTTATAGCTAATCTATATCAATGATTACACAGCGGTAATCGTTTTAGTCAAACAAGTTTTCAAATTCATTTTGACTGAAAAGCTAATAAATGATTTGGATCTAAATATTTAAAGTTCGAGGATAAAACATAACACCTTCAGTCTTGTAGCTCTGTCTACAATATGAATAGATAATTATATCTATAAACAAGGTAGCTAAACAAACCCATTTCATAATTGCTTATTAATTTAATCGGACATGGACATTAGTTTGCCTTATTATGCGAATATCGTAGCTCAAATTATTGGTAATATATTAGAAACGTCAGTTTAATGTTCGAAGTGTTACATTCGCAAAACATAAGATTAGGGACCATACTCTTATTGGCATATTTACATTCAATGCAGATTGCCTCGATATTGTCTTGAGTCACAAACATCATAAACATAAATGGGTAGTAGCTAGCAGTGGAATCTAGAGCGCATTTCGTCTTACTTATGACTCGTTAGCTGGATGTACCTGCATCCCACAGTTGATATTCACTCCATGACTCGAACCCAACACCGTTCACTTCATACGCCATCGCACGGGAAGCAGATATCCCAATAAGAGATTGGTCAGTTGCAATCCCAAACATCAATGATAAGATTCAAACAAACAATACAAAAATATGGTTGACGAATTGTAGCATATGATAATGTAATGGTTTCCCTTTAAAAAGTTACAACACTGGTTTTGCTCGTATGCTGATAATTATTTGTTTATAGATATATAGGGTTAAAGAAATTCTTGGGTCCCATTGAAACCATAAACGAACCAACGTTAGACTACGAAAGTAAATCTCGAAGCACTGGACGGCCGTCTCGTTCAAGTATGGAACTTTTCAGCAGTGTGTATATATGACCCCACCAAAAATAGTCAAACCCAGGACTTTTGATCTCGCACTCAAACACTTCACCTGAACACCACTGAGGCGGCTTCCACTGGTGTTAATATCCAACTCCAATCAATTCACGATGTTGAGCCCCCACCTTTGATTGTCTTTGTTGGGTAACTGTCTCTTATCCAACACATCTGAACTTAGGTGGTCACGGGTTTTCACTAGAACTCTAGGAAATTCTCGAAGTTAGTTACTAGTGTGGCATATACTCACTGAAGGTGGTCGCACAATGTCGTGGGTTGATTTAAATCAGAAATCAACACCATTAAATTCCGACACAATGGTCTACAGGTTAAGCATTTGCGCGCTGAACTGATTCTGGGTTCCATTCCTGGGTGGAGGGTTATCAATGAACATTGCTTATAAGTCACCTACTAGGACGAAACGACCGTCTAGTGCTTCCATTTTTCTAATCGTAGTCAAATTACGACTTTAATATAGTTAATTATTTATCAATTGATATATTCGAAAAAAATTGTCTCTTCTTTTCATAAAGAAACGATGATATAAGAGTAATAACCAGATTTAATGAAATGTGAATAGGTAGTTCATAAACGATTCATCATATATATGGTTAAACAATCATCCTATGATACACCAAATTATCTTAGTTAAGATCTAATAATCAACTGGATTGTTCAATATTTAAATTCAACTAAACTATAAGTTGCCTAATTCATACTCATAGATTTGAACCTTAGTAGATTTCTTAAAACTTTAATCTTGATTGTTTAAGATCTAGGATCAATTTGAAGTTTAATTTATTCAGTATACAACAATTCTTCAATCATACATTAATTCATTCCAAATGGTATTTTGCAATCCATTGTTCTTTACAAATAAGTGAATCAAACTGTACATTTCCCCATTTTTATAGTGTATTATAATATGTATATGAAAACACCTTCAGTCTTTTCGTGTATAAGAAAATATCTGATGGTTGGTTGTTTATAGATATGCACAATTTAAGATACTGTGGTGTGTACTACTGATGTCGACAGATATAAGTAGTCAGTATCACCAATCAAAAGTGAAATGCCTGGTGATGGCACAAGGTTAAGAAGCCGAAGAAAAGAGAATGATTGGTGTGTAAACGAAAGAACAATAAAATCTGAGATAGTCAAATTTGAAACAATGGATTGACATTTTTCAAATGAATTATTTACTGTACGGTTCTCAGAATTTATTAAGATATTCTGTAATTCTATGTTTAAATACGTTTGATTGTCCCCACTTGTGTTGTCGTCCACTACAATACTATTATTATTTATTTGAACACATAAAGATTGGTACAAAGTTGCAACGAATACATATGTGCCACACAAGTCACTTGATTTGTGTGTAGGCTACGATACTACCCGGGTACTCAAAATACAATACTAGCTAACCATTTACTTAGTTAAAACACAAGGGCAACGATAAGATACCTATGGAGAGTACATTATACATATATAGGCTGAAGCGGTCTTAATAGGACAATTTCTTAGTGGTTACGAGTTTCCACACTGGGTCAGTAAATCCTAGGTCCGAGACCCGTTTGTTTGATTATAATATAGAAAACCGGGTAATATTAATAAACCCCCATATTAGAAATCAAGAACATAAATTTATAAATAGACTATAAAATAAATCGTAATCATATTGCTATTGTTAAAAGAAAAAGAAAAAAAATACACACTAAATAGATTATACTAACATATAATTAGTCAGTCAGTCAGCTACAACGTAGGACCAGGCACATATATGCATCGGTCCAAGTTGCCATACCTCTTTAGCACAACATAATTAGTAAGTAGTATTGACAGTTTTTTGATAAAAGAAACACAATCACATTTGAATCATACATACACACACACACACAAATACTCATTTTTGTTTTTTTATAAAAGAGAAAAATGCATCACAATAAATGATTGAAGAGGATTTGTTTGTATATCTGAATAGAATTATCGATATATATATATATATATATATATATAGAACAGTGAATTATTTTTTCTGGTTGGCGTTTTTTTTTAACGAGTAAGTTTTTCTACGGGATGGGGTTGCTAACCCCATGCCCAGCCCTACTCCTTTACCCGAGCTTGGGACCGGCAATAACTCTAGAATAGCTACAGACGGAAAGGATTGTTCAGGACAGAGTTGGATGGAGAATGCTGGTGGGCGGCTTATGCTCCACCATGAGGGGTTAACAAGCGTAAGTAAGTAAGTATAGAACAATGAATACATGAAATAGTCATTAATAGGAAAAAAGGAAAAAAAATTTTTTATAAAAGTAGAAAAAAATAAAGAAATCAGTTCGGTTTTTTTTAAAGAAAAAACTTACAGGTAAAAATACAAAAAAAAAGTTTTTTTTTCTTTTCTTGTTTAAATGTATAGATGTATAGTATAGTTGTTATACATTCACTGATCGACTATTCAATGATATAATAGATTCATCAGTTGTCGTCATTTCATTTACCTTTTGAAAAGAAATAAATCAATGAAGAGAATAGTTATAAAAAAGAAAATACATTTCTCAACTATTATAACTATTATTAGAAGGGGTTTTTGTTGAGATTTTAGTAATTTTATATAGTTGAGATCATGAGTCAATTGAAGCTAAACCAACAGGGAAAACCTGGAAGCATTGAACGGCCATTTCATCCGGTTGTGGGACGTGTTCTAGATCCGATCTTTTACAACCAGACTAACATCACGAAGGCGCCAAAGATGGCCCAGATTGGTACAAGCCACTCTGGCTTTCACTTTACGTGCGTCGATCTCATCACTCATGCCACCACCAGCACTTATGTAGCTACCTAGATACACGAACTTTTCAACTACTTCAACCTGCTCACCACCCAAGGTGAGTACAGGATGAGAATCCTGCCAGTCTTGTAAGAGTACTTTGCACTTCGAAGGTGCAAAGCACATACCGTACATGCGGGCACTGATTGCCAATTGATTAAGTGCGGATTGCATGGCTTAGACATTATTACACAGTAAGACAATGTCATCAGTCTTAATTCACAAGCATTATAAGCAAAGATGAATAGTAGCTAGCAGTGGAATCTACAATGCACTTTTAGTCCTATTTGCTTGAATCTCAGAGTTGATATTTACTCTGGGACACGAACCCAGTGGTTGAGTAGATAACATGATGTTCTTTGAAGCATACAGTAAGCAAGAACAACCAGATTTACTGAATAAAATGAATTCATTAGTTTATTTCACGGCTTCTCATCATCTCAATACAATTATTCATATAATTATGAACAAATGTTTAGTAAAATTTTAGTTTGTAAAGTTTAGATAAATGTTTGAAAAGTGACTAAAATCATAATGATCAGGAGAAAAATAAAGGTATAAAATGTACGCATAACCATATTGAAGATCGATGCATATTTACATTGCTGGACAATAATCATTCACAGGTTATGTCTATTTATTTTATTCAAATACATAAACAATAGTACAAGGCGCCCCTGAATACATATGCGCCACACAAATAATTCGATTTGTTATAGGGCTGGAATACCACCCGCGAGCCCTAACCGAAGCAGATGGTTTTCTTAGGCGGCCACAACGAGCCTTTGACTCAAAAGTTTATTCCACAAGAAAGTAAAGCAACGTAAGGAGATGCAGTCTCAAGATAGCCGGTGATCAACAATAAATCCATATGCCATTTGTTCACTCAGGATCCTGGAGCACATGTGCACCACTTTTTTGTAGTCAGGGTTTTTCAACTCCCCTAGGTGTATAGTCCATATTAACCAACCCGATTAAAGTGCCGAACATTCAATTTTCATCCTCTCAATTTGGTAAACAACACTGGTGCTGCGAGAAGGCAGTAAGTAGGACCTGCCTGTCAGTGGTTTTATACGTGTGGCCATGTGGGAGCAAGGTAATGAAATTAATAGGTGGCTGGATAATAGCTCAACATGACAAAATAAACAGAGATGTGAACATCCATAAGATTATGTAACATATTAATATCAAAAGACGAAAGAATAACCGTTGGGTTGGAAAAAGACTATTATTAGGTGATTAGGTTATTAGGTGAACCCTTGATCACCATAGCAGGGAAATGCTAGTCACATTTTCTTTCTGTATACATAGATCAGGTTGGAAACATTTGACGGCGATTACTACTATAAAAAAGAGTAAGACTGGTGTGTTTTTTGTTCGTCAATAAATTTGAATTCAATGTTTACATTCATTCTATTTTCATCATCTTAAAGCTGTTTAGCACTTGTACCCTTAAAATTTTTACTCCCTTTCATATGTAGTTTCATAAGAATGTGTGGAGAAGATTTGTAGCTCAGGTGGGTGATTTTGATGTAGGTTTGTTCTCTGAGCTAGATGGTTTGGTCGTGGAGCTTTCATCGTCCTTCTGAACGACATCATCAGCACAAACCTACATAAGAATGTGTCAAGGAAACCTTGTAGAAGCTTTTCACTTCGTTGTTTCTATATAATTGATATCCCAAGGTACAAATAAAATCTATTCTGGATTAGAACTTCCAAACATACAAAAATATACATTGATTTTAATTAAGTTTACTCATAAATTTTTTGATTTTTCCTTATTCATATTACGGTGTTTTATAATTGCATTTATAAGTTAGTTAAAGATAGATCACCATAGAAAATCTGAAGAAACTGGAAGACCGTTTCATCTTACTATGGGACTTTTCAGCTGTATATATTTAACGATCCAGTTTGAGGGAAATATCACTCTCGTGCGAAAACGCTTAACTTTCAGACCACTAAGCCGGTATCCCATGGTACTAAGGTTTAAATTCAACCAACATTTAGTTAAATTTCACAAAGTAAAGTATACTAAATATTTGGTTATATTTCCTTTAAAAAAGCTTGGACCAGATTGCAGACCAAAACGTTGGATTTACTTTAAGTTCAATCACTGAGATTTCAACATGTATAATTTCTTGCCTAATGTCTAACATCAACTTGGCGATTAACTACTGTGAAACTATTCGTTTAAATTTAGACGAAAGTACTTATAAGATTGTTAACAGTTATAATTTTAAGTTATATACAGCTGATGAAGAGTCACGAAATGGAATTTACTTTATTGTGCATATTTTTGTTATTATTGCTCTGTTTAAAGGATAGACTTTACAGTTTGGTATGGAATTCTTCAACAGTGCACGAAATTACATTTGCGAACAGGAAGCGAAGTGAGAAATCTTCAGGTTCTACTACAAACACGATGTTATTTAGTTCAATACTCAAAATTTTAACTTTTGATATTAATACATCTGATTCTAATGTCATTTATATAGAATGAATATGAACAACAACACCCTTGATATGTTGACAATTTACACATATTAATATATAATCTGTTTTTATTTATTTATTTATTTAAACACATAAATATTGGTACAAGGAAGCACCAGATAAATATGCGCCACATAAATCTCTTTCGATTTGCTTGAGGTCTGTGATACTGCCCGAGTGCCCAAACCGAAGCAGGTGGTTTTCTTAGGAGACCACAACTGGAGCCTTTGACCTGAATGTCTGATCCACAAGGCAGTGGAGCATCGTGAGGAGATGCAGTCCCATAGTAGCCGGTGAACAACGGTTGGTTCTTACGCCATTTGTTACATCAGGATACTGGAGCCCATGTGCACCATTGGTTTGGAATCAGGGTTTTCCATCTCCCTTAGGTGGATCCTCCACATCCACCAACCCGGTTAATGCGCCGGACATTAGCTTTTTGTCCTCTCACTTTTGTGAACAACACCGGTGCCACGAGTAGGCAGTGAGTAGGACTTCCCTGGCAGAGTCTATATATTCGCTGACCATGTGAGAGCATTTCGAGAGAGAGAGTGGACTCTCCCCACTCTCGGCCGTACCAGGGCATTTGGGGGCATATAATCTGTAGTAGTCCACAGTTACAATGAACAGTCGTAAAATAAACAGGTGGACAAAAATATAGTGCATAATATTCACACAGGTCGGATTGTATTCTCCAATGTAAACCCTAGGCTCCATTAATAGAGTGGCCCCCGAATGCCCTAGTAGGGCTGAGGTTTGGGAGAGTTAGCTCACCCCTCGAAATGCTCTAACATGGCTACACGTATACACAGCCACTGCCAGGGAAGTCATAATCACTGCCTTCTCGCGGCACCAGTGTTGTTTACCATGGAAAATCTGGAGATGCTGGAGGGCCATTTCGTCCTAGTATGGGACTCCTCAGCAGTGGGTATCCACGATCCCGCCTCACGGGGTTCGAATCAAGGAGCTATCATTCTCGTGCGCAAACAGTTAACCTTTAGACCACTGAGCTATCATCCAATGGTGGTGGCTCAGTAATCATTTTCTTTTATTTACAATTACCAAGTGACCTCAACAATTTAACCTTAACATTTAATTATTAAACATTACTACTTACTCTTTCAATCATTCGATTACGAACATTATTTACATGATTATGATCATCATCATTATTGTTAGTCTGTTCAATTCCTTGTTGAAGTTGTGCCGTTTGATTTGAGAGATTGTCTACAATTATAGAATTATTCAATAGATTTGAAGAATTTTGAATCGTATTATTATCATTATGATTTTGTGATGAATGTGGTTGATTTTGATGTGATTGTAACTGTTGTCGATGACGATAACAATAACAAAATCTTTCTTTGCCTTCTTCTTCCTCTTCGTGTTGAAGTCGTCGTCGTTGTTGTTGTGGAAATTGTGAACGATTTATTAAAGAATGTTTACATTCATCAGTAGATGATTTTTTAGTTACTGATGTTGTTGTTGTCATTGTATAACCAAGTGCTTGTTTATAAAGTAAATGTCGATCAGGTCGTGTATCATCTTCTTTAAATATAGTTGATTTAGGATTATAATATTGTTGACAAACAAAATGCCATAATGGTGAATTATTTGAACGTCCATGGGTATTTTGCATATCCTAGAAGAAGGAAGGAGAAAGAGATTGCCAAAACACACCTTATTTATTCAATAAACAAATAAAATAAACATTTAATGAAGAGGTTGAGTGAAACTATCTGATAGTAAGATAACTTCCAACTACTTATTATAGAAAAAAACAGTATATTTTATCAATTTCTTTTTAGGAAATAGCATCTAAAATCAAACTTCATAGTATGGTAAGCAAAGATGGATAGTGGCTAGCAATGGAATCCACTTTGATGCGCTTTTCGTTTTATTTCGGACTTGTAAACTGGATGTACCTACATCTCAGAGTTGATGTTCACTCTGAGACTCGAACCCAGTACTTTTAGCTTCAAACGTTATCGCGTTATCCACTCGGCCATCAATGAAAAGATTCAATCAAATAATACTATGTGAATTTCAACTTCACCCAATTGCACAAGCAAGCGGCTATCAAGACTTAGTTGCTAAGAGAATAACGTGATAGCGTTTGAAGTGAAAATTACTGGGTTCGAGTCTCAGAGTGAACATCCAGCTGACCAGTCCCAAATAGGACGAAACACGCGTCAAACTGGATTCCACTGCTAGACACTATTCATCTTTGCTTACGATGCTTGTGAATTAAGACTATATCGAGGCAATACGCATAGTATGCACATATAGTAACAAGAGACTGACCAGTGAGATGATTGAAACAAGCATTACTATGTAAACTTCATAGTAGTTTATAGTCACGACTATACACATAAGATCCAACTCCCCTTGAACTACAAGTCTAATTGTAAGTATACTATCTCAGACTGTAGTGAACGACAAAAATGAGTGAGGACAATCGAATTCATTTCGATACAAAATCACATAATCTTTTAATTCGAACCATACAGTAAATACTTCATTAGCAAAATGTTAATCCATTGTCTCAAAACTAGACTTAAATTTGATTAATTTCGTGGATCAGCCATTGATCTATATTACTATTAAAGTCTACATGGAAGCCTAAACTTTATACTAATGGTATCTGATGTGAACTGATTTATTGAAATGTGAATAAAGCAATTCAAATTAGATCTGATCACAGAAATCAGTCAAAATTGTAAAATAATTCAGTGAATACATTAAGAAATACGTTAAAAGATATGAGATAAATAACATAGACGATAATTTAGTGATTAAAATAATCAATACTTAATTAATATGTTTGAACTAACCATCATGGATTTTTATTTAAGCATTGAATGTATGGCACTGACCATCGTCATATACTTCCTAAGTGGATATAAGTAGACCACATCACAGTAGTACACTTTATGACATACTTGATTCTAATCACTCCAAATTTACTAATTGATTACAATTCATCAAGTTTAAACTTATATTGGATGATAACTTTCAAAATTCGATAATTAATAATTATAAATGAATTATTATGAATTCATTTTAATTTCAATAGTTGAGATCATGAATCAATTGAATCTAAACCACTATGGAAAACCTTGAAGCACTAAACAACCGTTACGCACTGGTATGAAACTCCTCAGTAGTGCGCATCCACGATCTGGACTCGTGAGATTCGAACCCACGACATATCAGTTTCGCGCGCGAGCGCTAAACTTGACTAAAAAAAATTAACGCTAGTTTTGAAGATATTATAATTTTACCTACTCATAAGTAGTTAAATTATGTACGCAGAAATTCCTGTTCACTAAACAAGGTGATATTTTGTAGATTATTTGCTAAAAACTTATATTAAAATTATACTGAAGGAGATTTCCTCCAAGAATAACAACAAAAAGTTGTTTACTAATATGAAATTTGTTTAAACTGTCTGTTGGAAATGAATGCCACAGTAAGAAAAACCTTAGCTTTAAAATCCATCATAACATTAATTTGATAACTTCAAAGTGATCAATGATATCTATAAATAGATCTAAGATAACACTTTTAAAACTTGAAAATAACTCATAACTATCAGAATAATATTTAATTGAAACAATTCGATTAGTATTACATATAAGATAAGCATAGAACTGTTCATTCTTATCTTGTTTGCCCCTAAATGCCCTGGTACGGCCGAGGGTTGGGAGAGGACGCTCTAACATAGTTACGCGTATACAGCCAGTGCCAAAGGAGTCATACTCACTGCCTTCTCGTGGCACCAGTGTTCTTTACGAAATTAAGATGACGAAAAGCAAATGTCCGGCACTTTAACCCAATTGGTGGACACGGCGCGTCCACCTAGGGAAGTTAGAAAACCCTTCTTCCAAACCAATAGTGCACATGGTCTACAGTATCCTGAGGGAACAAATGGCGTATGAATTAATTGTTGGTCACTGGCTACCATGTGATTGCATCTCCTTACAATGCTCCACTACCTTGTGGATCAAATCTTTAGGTCTCAGGCTCTCGGTGTGGTAATCTAAGATATCCAGGCAGTATCTCAACCACTTGATTTCTACCAATATTTATGTGCCTAGATCAATAATTAACATTCAAAAAAGAAAACAAAAACAATAAACCAAAACAAAAAAAAGAACCCTCAAACTAACCTTTACTTCTTCATATGCTTCAAATATAATTGTAACAAATAAATTTAATACAACATATATAAACAATGTAATAAATAAATATAAAAATAAACGACTAAATAAATAGATACCAATAGGTGCATTATTATTTATTATAGTAAATGTAACAAACATATCATCACCATTAATTAAACTATATAAACATTCAACTGTTGACATAAATGTACGAAATTTCAGATTATATGGGCCTAATACAACCCAACCACATAAACTAAATGCAAAGAATAAGATTAATGCACAAACACAAAAACGTAATAAACCAGGTATGGAACGTGATATTGTACGAATAAGTAACTATATAATCAGAAAGAGAAAAAAAAAGAAAAAAATGTGAGAGAGAGAGAGAAAATAATTAAGTAAACAAAAAATCAATATTAATGAATAATAATAATAATATAAATGATAATCATAATGTGTTCTTTGAAGATGCCGGCTCAGTGCCCGCACGCGAGATTGATAGGTCCTAGGTTCGAATCTGGCGAGGTGGGATCGTGGATACGCACTGCCACTGAGGAGTCTCACAATAAAACGAAACAGTCGTCCAGTGCTTCCATGTTTTCCATGGTGGTCTAGATTTAATTGACTCATGATTTTAACTATTTATATAGCATTATTATTATATACTGATTATAAGTCGAATGAACGATTATAGTCAGTAGATCATTGGTTAACTTGTAAATTTAATAAACATGAACAATATTAATTTATTAATATAATGAATAAAGATTAGGTCTAATAATAGTTAGTTCTCAAAGTTCGAATTCCTACAATTGAACAACATATAGAACTCAAAACAATTATCTGTCAACCAATATCAAACTCAGAATCTTCAATACGAACGTCAAGACAGTCAGTTCTACTGTACGGAAATGAAACGTGGAGAACTACTACATCCATTGTCAAGAAGGTACAAGTATTTATAAACAGTTGTCTACGCAAAATACTCAACATTCACTGGTCGGATACTATCAGAAACAGCGTTTTATGGGAGAAGACAAACCAGCTTCCAGCTGAAGAGGAAATTAGGTAGAGACGTTGGAAGTTGATAGGACATACATTAAGGAAATCATCAATTTGCATCACGAGGCAATCCCTAACATGGAATGGTGAAGAGAAGCGTAAAAGAGGAAGGCCAAAGAACACATTACGTCGGGAAATAGAACTAGATATGAAAAGGATGAATGTTAACTGGCAAACGCTGGAAAGGATTGCCCCGGACAGGGTTGGATGGGCGAATGCTGGTCGGTTGTCTATGCTCCTCCACGAGGGGTAACAGGCGTAAGTAAGTAAGTAAGAAATAATAATAATAACAACAATAATAATGATAGGAAAAACATTTCAGTTAGAAAGGATACAACCAGAAAGAATTCTTTCATCTAAAGAAGTTATTTTCACTTTTATGAAGAAAGTAAAATAAAGTTACAGTAGGATCGTCAGTGGCTTTCATTCCCAGACATGTCTGATAACGTTTCAAGCCACAGTGTTGCACTATCTTTAGCACCATAACCACTGAGTCGTGAAGGAACGACAGAAACCAGTCCTGTATAGCTTTCTTTCATACCACAACACCATGTAACTCACTGACCACTACTCCGCTATGTCCAACAGGTCCCGCCAAGGGGTTCTCTAGGACGACATTCGTAAGACATATTCAAGCCACTGAAGTCGATGTTTCAAGATAGAAACACTAATTGAATTATCGTCGTTGTCCCCGAATACACGTTGTCGAACCTGTGCATTAACTAACATGATGTTGTCACTGGATGTCAGCAATCCTTCGGAGACAAAGATGTTCAGACACAGAGAATGGTGATTTAAACAAATTTATGTAACTGTATCATATCTAAAGTTACATGCTTCTCGAATCGGATTACAAATGTAGTTTGAATAATTGTAACCAACAATTTGATCGATCTTCTCAATGTGAATTCGCGATTTCATCATTGTTATATTACACGATTAAGACTACATAGCTCAGAACATTGTGTGAACATAACCGAGACAAGTTCCTATTCTTGTATATCACAAATAAAACACTGAATTCCACAACAACAACAAAATATGTTGACTATTTAAAAATCCAGAAAATTGAAACGAATTACGTGAAACCGACTACGATCACGTTTTGACGAATACAATTTCATACTACTTATAAGTAACATGAAATTATTAGCTGAAGTTAATCACAATTAAGCATTCAAACTATGTGTATGCTTACACTGTTGTCATATGAGAAACCGACATAGTATAGTATACCAATCCAGACAAGTAGTGCACCAATACCCATTAAATAAGTTAATGGTTCGTATTTCACTTGAATCTATGAAAACAAAATTAACAAAGCAACAATAAATAGACATTGAAGCTATTGCTTGTATTAAAATATTATTTCAACTGTTTATTAAACTGACGAGTCTTATATAGGAAATGAAAGTCCCCGCTTTTCACTGTTAACCACAAAACAAGTGTATTTATTACATTGTCCTTTTAAATTTGAATGTGTTGTTTTATAATCTTAATCTTTGACAGTAAGTGACTGTTTAAAGTCATATCATTTCTCTATTAGATCTGTCCAGTGCTAATTTAAAGGGCAGAAATTCGGTAACATCAAGGAATCTATATACCAGTATCAGTCAGTCAGTCACAACGTAGAACTTCGTACGTACGTACATCAGTTCGAGTTGCCATACCACATTAGCACACAGATGCAGTTGTCGATTCAAATCCCATAGTGGAAGAATTAGTAAGAGTATAAGCAGTAATCGGAAAGATTAGAGTTTGAAGATGTTATTGAAGGAGTATAGCACAGTGAAATATATTTTGAAGGAGAAAAACATAAAGACATGAGAAATTCAGAAGATTAGAATTTGGTAGAACACAAAGAGTGGATGCATCTTCGCCATTGCAAACGATTTTGAGCCATGTCATTCAAGGTCTCTAACCATCGGTTGCTATCATCTCGCGAATCCCAACCAGGTAGTCTACACTTACCAACATGGCCCAGTCCACTTGTCAGTGACTTCATTGATTTGTGCCACGTTTTGGTGTGGCCACCCCTAGCTTTCTTCCAACCTACTCCTACACCATAAAACATTGCAAGTCGGGGCATTCGGTGGTTAGGCATAAGTAACATGTGTCCCAACCATCTCAACTGATGAAGTTTCACTACTTCATCAATCGATTTGCCATCCCTACCTAGTACTCGTTTCCTAACAACTGCATTACTTACCCGGTGGTCCCAGGATATACGAGCAATGCTTCGAAGACACCTATGATCGAACACTAGTAGCCTACGAATATCCTCTACTCTTACCGGCCATGTTTCACTTCCATAAAGTAGGACGGAACGAACTGCTGCACAGTAAACCCGTCCTTTGGTTGCTAGACGGATATCTCGCCTACGCCACAAATGATGCAAGTTGGCAAAAGCTAGACGAGCCTTCTGTATCCGTGCTGAGATTTCGTCAAACACCAGACCACAAGGGCTGATGAGACTCCCAAGATAAGTGAAGTGGTCTACACGCTCAACTACTTCACTCCCTATCATTAGTTCAGGTGTCGCTGCAACCCAATCCTGAAGTAACATTTTGCACTTCGAGGGAGAGAATCGCATCCCGAACATGCCTGCATTGTTGCTTATGGTGGTCAGAAGACTCTGCATTTTGTCAGCGTCTTCACCGAGTAAAACTATGTCGTCGGCGTATTCTAAGTCAACAAGTGAGCCTCCCGGTAAGAGTTCAACTCCTGGAGGCTTAGCTGATGAAAGTGCTGTCTCTAAAAGTATGTCAATGACAAAGTTAAACAAGAATGGGGAGAGTGGACAGCCCTGACGAACTCCACTTGTGGTAATCAGTTCTGATGACAGTTCGCCATAGGCTCTAACTCGACCAGTTGTGTTCGAGTAGAGAGCCTTTATGAGGTTAATGTACTTCTTTGGTACTCCTTTCAGTGACAAACATTGCCATAGAACCTCACGATCAACAGAGTCAAATGCCGCCTTAAGGTCAAGAAATACTACTATTGTGGGACGTCTGAATTTGTGTCTATGTTCTAGAACCTGACGTAGGGTGAATATCTGGTCTATGCAACCACGTCCAGGTCGAAAACCAGCCTGGTTTTCTCTAGTCTGCTCTTCACGAGCTTTGGTTAGGCGACCTAGTATTATTGAAGCTAATATTTTAGACACTATATTAGTCAAACTGATCCCTCTGTGATTGTCACAGGAGGACTTTTGTCCTTTCTTATAGACTGGCACAATCAGCGATTGGGACCAGTCAGATGGAATTACGTCCAGTTCCCAGATTCTACCTAAGACCTCAGTCAATCTCACTGCTAGTACTGGACCACCATCCTTAAAAATCTCAGGGGTCAACCTGTCAGGGCCTGCTGCTCTCCCGCGCTTCAGATTCCTTATAGCTTCTTCAACCTCACAGAGGGTTGGAGGACTTACGTCAATTTGCCATTCAGGACGACTGGGGATCGTGGGTAATTGAAGCGTGGCTGAAGGCCAGTTGAACTGATCCCTAAAGTGTTCTGTCCATCGATCCAACCTCCGGGATTGAGAATGAATAATATGCCCATCTTTATCTGAGATGGTTTCACTGATATTCGGGTTCCTAATGCCGGTCTCTTTAACGAGTCTGAATAGCTGCCTACTGTTACCTATTGCCGCTGCCTTTTCCATCTCTCTTGCTTTCCCTACCCACCACTGTTCACGATCATTACGTAGGCTTCTTATAAGCCTGCGCTTAAGTTGACTCCGCTCTTCGTTATGCTCAGAGCCAGGTGGGATGAGTTTACGAGTATCTATCAGTGCGGAAGATGCTGCCGAGATCCATTGTTTCTCCCTAACGTTATGGTTTACCTTACTAGCGGACATCACTGCTGTTTCCACAGCTTTTCGGATGTCATTCCACGCTGCCTCGGGGTGGACACAACTTACATGGCTGCCTAACTGTTTTTCTAGTTGTTCCTGAAATATATTCTTAGCTTGCCTATCATTAAGTAGAACCCTTAGAGGCTTCCCTGCAGTGTCTTTCCTACGACCAGTTAGACGCAGACAGATACGTGCTCGCACTAGAGCATGATCTGAATCTAAACATGTGCTCCAGAATGAGCGACAGTCTTCTATCGAGCCCCTCCATCGGTGGCTGATAGCGATGTGATCTAATTGGGTCCAACGTTGGGACGAATTCGGGGGTCGCCATGTCAAAAGATGTTTTTCCTTATGCTTAAAGTTAGTATTTGCAAGAAATAGGCGGTTATCTGAGCATAGCTGCAACAGACGGTCGCCATTATCTGTTCTTTTCGCCATGACACCATAAGATCCACCCAGTTGTCTTTCCCTTTCACTTAGTTTACCTACTTGAGCATTAAAATCACCTGCTACTATTACTACATCAGAACGCCTAGCTTCTCGGAGAAGGTCAGAAAGTTTCCTGTAGAACTCATCTTTTATATCGTCTGAGCTGCAGTCAGTGGGAGAGTAGGCAGAGACGACGAAGAGGCAACGACGAGTTTCCCTATCTTTCCGGGTCCTTACTGATCCGTTTAGTCGGACAGCGCATAGACGACTGTCTACTGGGATCCAGTCTAAAAGAGCTAGTTCTGCCCTAGAACTTAATGCTATACCTACTCCAGCGAGGCCACGGGAAGCAGCGTCAGGGCTTCCAGATACACGAAGCGTGTATCGAGATGAAACTTTATTTTGATTAGGTGAGGTCAAATGAATGACACTACTCGGATCTTGTATGCGCGTTTCGGAGACGCAGCACACATCGTTGGTGTAAGATTCTAGAGTCCTAGCTAAGGAAGCCTGTTGTCCTATTTGGCACAATGTTCGGACATTAAAAGTTCCTACATGTAGTTTAGAGCGTGGTTTCAGGAGACCAGGGATAACGTTCTGTGTACTCGAATCGTTTGCCCTAGCGGTGCGAGGTGATAAAAGGACGTGGGAAGGGTTAGTCGTGGAGATAACAGAGTTATTAGGTGTAGGAAGGATTTGAAAGCGACCAACTTGGTCTTGTGTGCAGCTAAGGGTATGAGGGCTAGTATCACTTCCCGGCTGCCCACACCGTGGAAGGGTATTTCTTGAGGGACCTGGAAAAGAAGTTGGATTAGTGTTGGTCTTAACGACCTGGGTGCGTGACCGCAGTGCCCAAGGGACATCTGCTTGAGGCCGGTCACGCACGGCCTTTTTGTGGGGGATTTTTGACGTGTTAGCTCCGTTCTTCAAAAGTCCTTACCGCCGGAGACGGAAATCCGTGGGATAAGGCGAGGTGTGCATTTTTAGGGTCGACCTTTTCTAACCCCACCCCTCCTTGTGGGAAGGCAGCATCGCTGTCATGCTGGTTGTCTGAAGGAAACACCTTACTGCTTTCACACCTCTGTACAGTCAGCAGTACGACTTCGCCTTCGGACCTTGGGATTGCTGCTTTTAGTCTCACCGCTCTTCAATCGACCTGTCTGGCATGGTAGGACCTTGAGGAACGATTGTTCCAGCCAGCATAGCTCGATTGGATCATCACGATAGGCAAGCCCGACCACCACGTCAAGGTAGCAGCAACGGTCGGGATATACCAGTATAGCATATGTTCTCAAACCATATTATCCATGTCGAATATTTTCTATTACCATCAATAGTGCAGCTACGTTTACAACTCTGACGTTTATCCTGATAATTTGATTTAACTATGTTGATATAGGGTGGCGAATTAAATAGATATACATATGTCCCAAATTCTACGTTGCTTATGTCTGACTGACTGATTGCTTCATGAATTAAAGAGGTTAGAACAACTGGTCAACAAATTCAATACAAAATACAATCTATGATCTTATATATAAACAAAATATCGAATAAAATTAGAGTAACTATGCGTCTCTTTGAAAAAAAGTGCGTTATCACCATTTTTATTTATTTATTCAAATACATAAACATTGATACAAGGAGGCACCAAATAGATATGAACCACACAAGTAACCTGATTTGTGTGTGGGCTGTGATACTGCCCGGGTGCCTAGACAGGAGCAGGTGGTTTTGTTAGAGGGTTACACACGGAGCCTTTGACCTGAAGGTCTAATCCACAAGTCAGTGGAGCAACGTAAGGAGATGCAGTCCCATGGTAGCCAGTGTCCAATAATAGGTCCATATGCCATTTGTCCTTTTAGCATCCTAAAACCCATGTGCACCATTGGTTTGAAATTAGGGTTTTCCAACTTCCCTAGGTGGATAATCCATATTAAACAACGCGATTAAAGCGCTGAACATTCGCTTTTCATCCTCTCAATTTCGTAAACATAACGGTGCAGCAAGAAGGCAGTCGTTGTATGCACACGACCAGGTAAGATCATTTCTAATAGAAGAACAGACTGTCCCAACCCTCGACCGTAATAGGGCATTTAAGGGTCATTTTTAAAGAAATTGTGAATTATGAAAGATAACAAAATCACTCATGATTCAAATGACAAAGTCTTACATAGAAAACAACAAGAAAAAAATAAAACAAACTCATAGAACACATATGAAACGGCCTTTCAAGTGCTTCCAGGTTATTCTTTATGGTCTAGTTTTAATTGATTCATAAATTCAACTATGAAATTACCATAATCTCTACAAAACTCTCTTCTAATAAATGTAATTCAATTCAAAATTACTAGTTGGTGGCCTATGCTCCATTGGGGGTAACATGCGTAAGTAAGTAATTATGTAAGTAATCAGTTCAAATATTAAAGAGTAATTTACTTGATGAAAACATTTATTGATTTATCACTATGATGAATACATAAACTGGTAAAATTATTTCTGTTTTCTTTTTGTTTCAGAAACACAAAAGAATTTATATTGATTATATAGTAAAACATTTATGATTTTCAAAAAAATTTTCATAAATTATTGATTTGGTTAATTATTTAAACAAATATATATTGGTACAAAAGGGCACCAGGTACATATGCGCCACACAAAATAATGAGAATGGGAAGAGAACGGAGGAAGATGCGCATATATAAAGGAAAGTAAAAGAAGTTTGCAGCAGGATCGCCACTGGCTTCGATTCTGAGCCATATCTGATAACGTCTCTAGCCACTGTGTTGCACCATCTCTCGAACCCCAGCCAGGAAGTCGTGAAGGCCCAACAGAAGCTAGTCCTTTGCAGCTTTCTTTCATGCCACGACACCATGTCATACACTGACCACATCTCCGCTTTCTCCAACCAGTCCCAGAGTCGGCAAATAATGCACGACGTGGAAGTCTCTGGGACGACATTCGTAAAACATGTCCAAGTCACCGAAGTCGGTGTTTCAAGATGGTGACACCAATTGAATTATCGTCTCGGCGCCCAAACACACGATGCCGAACCTCTGCATTACGAACATGGTGTTGCCACTGGATGTCAGCAATCCTTCGGAGACAACGATGATCAAACACAGAGAGACGTCTAACATCCTCAACTCGGAGAGGCCAGGTTTCACAAGCATAGAGCAAAACTGCTCTCACCGACGCCTTGTAAATCCGATCTTTTACAGCCAGACTAACATCACGAAGGCGCCAAAGATGGCCCAGATTGGCATAAGCCGCTCTGGCTTTCACTATACGTGCATCAATCTCATCACTCATGCCACCACCAGCACTTATGTAGCTACCTAGATACACGAACTTCTCAACTACTTCAATCTCCTCACCGTCCAGGGTGAGTACAGGATGAGAATCCTGCCAGTCTTGTAGGAGTACTTTGCACTTGGAGGGTGCAAAGCACATGCCGTACCTGCGGACACTGATTGCCAACTGATTAAGTGCGGATTGCACACCTAGGATTAATCACAAAAATGGTCCTAGGTGGTAGGCCTGAAGCATTTGTTCCATAGGTACTGTGAACACATTGAAAGGTCTGTAAAAGCACTACCACTAATCGAGTTTCATTTTCAGGTCCTCCGGAAACATAAACCTTTTAAAGAGCAGGCAACTGGGAAGCGGAAACTTCCAGTATACATCCGACAGCACTTTAGGCTGACATTTACTTACTTGCTTACTTTCTTTCGCCTGTTACTCCCAATGGAGCATAGGCCGCCAACCAGCATTCTCCAACCCACTCTGTCCTGCGCCTTCCTTTCTAGTTCTATCCAGCTTTTGTTCATTCTTCTCATGTCTGTATCCATTTCTCGGCGTAATGTGTTCTTTGGTCTTCCTCTTCTCCTTTGGCCTACAGGATTTCATGTGAAGGCTTGTCTTGTGAAGCAATTGGGGGATTTCCTCATGGTGTGTCCTATCCACTTTCAACGCTTCATCCTGATTTCTTCCTCCACTGGAATCTGGTTTGTTGTCTACCCCAGTAACTTGTTGCTGATAGTGTCTGGCCAACGGATCTGAAGTATCTTATGCAGACAACTGTTAATAAACACCTGTATCTTCTGGATGATGGCTTTCGTATTTCTCCACGTCTCCGCCCCATACAGTAGAACTGTCTTGACATTTGTATTGAAAATTCTGATCTTGGTGTTGGTTGAAGATTGTTTTGAGTTACAGATGTTCTTCAGTTGTAAGTATGCTCCTCTTACTTTGCCGATCCTCACCCTCGCATCTGCATCAGATCCACAGTGTTCATCAATGATGCTCCTCAGATATGTAAAGGTTTCCACATCCTCCAAAGCTTCTCCGTCAAGTGTAATTTGATTGGTGCATGCTGTATTGTATCAGAGAATCTTGCTTTTCCTTCTGTTTATATGGAGACCTACTGCTGCTGAGGCTGCTGCTACACTGGTAAGTAAGTAATGTAATGTAAAAGTAGAATGACAAATGGCTTTGAGTTGTTAAATCATCGGATTTGAAACCTTAAACATCAACTTCCTATCAACTATCTTCCTTATATTTTTTTTAAAGATGATTACTGATTTACTTTAATCGAAAATCAACTAAGCGAACAATGTTCACTGAATTGTACAGAAACCATTTGTATAAAAACTTACATGATTCAATGTACTCAATGCATATATTGATGTAGTAATGATGACTAAATCATTGACTATGATAAATAAAATCCATGGACGAACAAATTCCCAAAATACTCCATTCAATTGAATTCCAAACCAATTCTTAAAGAATTCAACAGTCTCCTAAAATGTTGAGTTGAATAAATGGAAAGGAAAAAAACACATCTACGATGTGATAAATATTAAACACAATATATATACACTATTAAACTGGAACCACCTTAAGCAATAATGCAAGCATGTTTGGGATGCACTTCTTTCCTTCCAAATGTAAAATGTTACTTCACGATTGGCTTGCGTCACCAACTGAATTACTGATAGGAGGAGAAGAAGTTGGACGCACCGACCACTTTACTTATTTCAGGGGTCTCATCACTTCTGATGGTCTGACGTCTGACAAAAGCTCAGGACGGATTTAGAATGCTCGATTGGATTATGCCAACTTGCATCCCCTGTGAGGTAGGTGAGATATCCGTTGGACAACCAAAGAACAGGTTTGCCATGTAGCATTTTGCTTCGTCTTACCTTATGGATAAGAAAAATAGCTATAAACAATAGATATCCGTACGTCAATAGTATTCAATCATAGGTGTCTACGAAGCATTTCTCGTGTATTTTTAGACCACAAAATACACATGTTTCTAGTCAAATACCATTTATTCTACATAAACCTGATTGCTTATGTTTTTTTCTTGACTAAACTAATCGATACGTATAGTTTACAGACAAAACATTTACAGTAATCAGTGTGCTTCATCAGACCAATATACATAGTGTTTTATTTTTATTCATTTATTTAAACACATATATATTGGTACAAAAGGGCACCAGGTACATATGCGCCACACAAAATAATGAAAGTAGCAAGAGAAGGGATGAAAAGATAAGGCGGACTGAAATGTACGACCAGAAGATTCTTTCAGTTAAGAAAGTTAGAACCATTCTTTATGTAGAAAGCAAAAGAAGGTTGCAGCAGGATCGCCACTGGCTTCTATTCTGAGCCATATCCGATAACGTCTCTAGCCACTGTGTTGCACTATCTCTCGGACCCCAACCAGGGAGCAGTGAAGGTCCAACAAAAGCTAGCCCTTTGCAGCTCTCTTTCATGCCACGACACCATGTCATACACTGACCACATCTCCGCTTTCTCCAACCAGTCCCAGAGTCGGCAAATAATGCACGACGTGGAAGTCTCTGGGACGACATTCGTAAAACATGTCCAAGTCACCGAAGTCGGTGTTTCAAGATGGTGACACCAATTGAATTATCGTCTCGGCGCCCAAACACACGATGCCGAACCTCTGCATTACGAACATGGTGTTGCCACTGGATGTCAGCAATCCTTCGGAGACAACGATGATCAAACACAGAGAGACGTCTAACATCCTCAACTCGGAGAGGCCAGGTTTCACAAGCATAGAGCAAAACTGCTCTCACCGACGCCTTGTAAATCCGATCTTTTACAGCCAGACTAACATCACGAAGGCGCCAAAGATGGCCCAGATTGGCATAAGCCGCTCTGGCTTTCATTATACGTGCATCAATCTCATCACTCACGCCACCACCAGCACTTATGTAGCTACCTAGATACACGAACTTCTCAACTACTTCAATCTCCTCACCGTCCAGGGTGAGTACAGGATGAGAATCCTGCCAGTCTTGTAGGAGTACTTTGCACTTGGAGGGTGCAAAGCACATGCCGTACCTGCGGACACTGATTGCCAACTGATTAAGTGCGGATTGCATGCCTTCGGCATTATCGCACAGTAAGACAATATCATCCGCATACTCGAGGTCGAGAAGTCGTTCTCCAGGCAACATATCCACACCGCAATTACTTACATCCATCAGAGCTGTTTCCAGGATGTCGTCGATGGCAAAGTTGAAGAGGAATGGGGAGATCGTGCAACCCTGCCTAACCCCACTGCTCGAATGAAACAAGAGAGAAAGGTGGTTGTATGCCCTCACTCTGCCTGAGGTGTTCGTATACAGGGCCTTTAAGATGTTAATGAACTTCTCAGGCACACCATTCTTCAATAGACAATCCCAGAGAACAGTCCTGTCCAACGAATCGAAGGCCGCCCTGATATCAAGAAACACTACGATTGTTGGCCTGCGATAAGTATGACGGTGTTCTAACATTTGGCGGAGGGTGAAGATGTGATCAATACATCCTCGACCAGAACGAAACCAGCCTGTTCCTCGCGATTCAATCGTTCTCGGGTTTTAAACAACCTACGAAGAATGATAGAAGCCAATAGTTTGGACGCGATCGAAAGTAGACTTATCCCCCGGTAGTTATTGCAGGAACAACGTGAACCCTTTTTAAAGATAAGGACGACTATCGACTCATTCCATGATGTTGGAACACTTTCTTCCTCCCAAACCTTTGCAAACAATACCGTCAGTTCCTCAGCCAGAAAGTCACCACCATCTTTAAAAAGAGCCGGAGGTAAGTCATCTGGGCCAGGTGATTTATAACGTTTCAAGAGTTGGAGTTCCTTGCGGACTTACGCCTCGTTTGGTGGATCAGTCGTCACCGGCCATGGGGGGCAGGACAAGCTGGTTGATGTTGCCGGAGCAGCAGGCCAGTTGAACTGCCCTTCGAAGAATTCCGCCCATCGTCCAAGACGTCGAGAGGTGTTAGTGATTGGCATCCCGTCATCCTAGTAGATTGTTTCACTCACACCAGACTTCTTGCTGCCAGTGGCTTGGATGAGTTGGAAGAGCTTCCGGCAGTTACCAGATGCAGCTGCTGCTTCCATCTCATTAGCACGCTTTGACCACCAGGCTTCTCGGTCCTTACGCAAGCTTTGCCCAATTTCATTACGTAACAGTCTTCGTTTGTGGTCATACTCACGGTCATCCGGAGTAGACCGACGGGCTTCCATCAGTTGTAAAGAGCCAGAAGAAACCCAGTGCTTGTAAGCCGGACGTTTCGCGAAGCCGCAAGCGGTTTTACTCGCCATTTTCATGGCGTCCTGCAGATGCAACCAATGCTCATCTATACTTTTCGGTGGAATGATAGCTAGCCTAGAGGTTAGCTCCGCTCGATACTTACTTGCAACAGAACTTGCAGACAGTTTACTAACATCAATCCGTTGGTGGTGGTCAATCCTTCGGCCACTGAAAAGTAAGGTGAGATTGGCGCAGACCAGGGCATGATCAGACTCCAGATAGGTACTCCAAAAGGAGCGGCAATCTTGTACACAACCACGCCAGCGGTAGCTGATCGCGATGTGATCAATCTCAGTCCAGGCTTGGGATGCAGAGGGAGGACACCAGGTGGCACACCGGCGATGACTGTGCCGGAAGTTAGTGCTGGCCAGAAACAGGTTGTGGTCTGTGCACAGTTGCAGCAAACGGTCACCGTTATCTGTTCTGCGACCAACAAGTCCCCATCGGCCACCTAAACGACTCTCTTCTGTGCCTAGACGCCCGACCTGCGCATTCAAGTCTCCGGCGAGTACTACAATATCTGTCGAACGCGCCTTCTGGAGAAGAACTGTTAACTGGTGGTAAAACTCATCCTTCATTGCATCCGGGCTGCAATCTGTCGGGGCATAGGCGGAGATGACGAAAAGACACCGTTTCTCACGCCGATTTCTTCTCACTTTGATGGAACTTTCTAATCTAACAGCACATAACCGACTGTTAATGGGGATCCAATCGATTAGTGCTGCTTCAGCTCTAGCGCTTAGTGCGACACCAACGCCTGCAAGACCAGACGAAGATGCCACAGAGTCCCCGGATAAGCGTATGTGAAACAAGCTTTTCGAAGCGACAAATGGAGAGCGGATTTGTAGTACTTCACTAGAGTCTTGAATACGGGTCTCGGATAGACAGCAAACATCAACATTAAGACTTTCTAAAGACATAGCAAGCCCCATCTGTTGACCGATCTGCATTAGTGTGTGAACGTTGAAGGAAGCCAGCTTGAACGGCGTACGTGGTTTCAGAAAGACTGCTTCAGTATTCGTAATCGGTGGAAGCATTCACTTTCAACCAGACAGTGACTGGAGATCGTTTAGATAGGACAGAGTTCCCACCCTTGGCGAGCTACTGCATAAGTTGGAAAGGAAGAATACACAATTTGGGAATAAATGGAGTGAAAAAAAGCGACGTAGTAAATAATAATAATAATAACAGTAATAATAATAAGTGTAAATTGTCTTGCTTCTAGTATGAGCAGGGATATTATCGTCAATAGAATTCATCATTTCATTTATTTGTGTGTGGGCTGTGATACTGCCCGAGTGCCCAAACCGAAGCAGGTGGTTTTCTTAGGGGGCCACACCCCGAGCCTTTGACCTAAAGGTCTGATACACAAGGCAGTGGAGCATCGTGAGGAGATGCAGTCCCATGGTAGCCGGTGAACAACAACAGGTTCATACGCCATTTGTTCCTTCAGGATACTGGAGCCCATGTGCGCCATTGGTTTGGAATCAGGGTTTTCTAACTTCCCTAGGTGGACCCTCCGTGTCCACCAACCCGGTTAAAGCGCCGGACATTAGCTTTTTGTCCTCTCACTTTCGTGAACAACACCGGTGCCACGAGAAGGAAATGAGTAGGACTTCCCTGGTAGAGGCTATATATTCGCTGGCCATGTGAGAGCATTTGGAGAGGGAGAGTGGACTCTCCCCACTCTCGGCCGTACCAGGGCATTAGGGGGCTGAGCTATGCAAAATGATCTATGAGAGAAAATAATAGGACAGCAAGTTTATTTCGTTTACTAGAGGTTACTGTGTCATCAAGCGCTTCCAGTATGATCTTTATATTCAAAATGACAATGTGATAAATCACTCATTATCTTATTAACAAAATTTTTTACCTATCAGTAGACCTTCAATTATTTACATGAAACATAATTCACAACATATGATTGAACATAAGATTTGCATAGTTTACTTGAGGAACACAATCCTATTTAGACTATTTACTAAATTGGGATTTAATAATTTTGAAATAAATTTTCAAGAAACCGTAACGAATAACTTGAACTCCAAACGCTCGTACGAGCGAAACCGGTGAGAATCAGCTCTCCCTTTCGAAATGCTCTTATATAGCCACTACTAGGGAAGTTATACTCACTACCTTCTCCTGACACCGATGTTGTTTATGGAATTGAGAGGACGAAAAGCGAATGGCCGGCGTTCTAACCGGGCCGGTGGACACGGAAAGTCCACCTAGGGAAGTTGAAAAACCATAATTCCAAATCAATGGTGCACATGGACTCCAGTATCCTGAAGAAATAAATGGAGTATGAATCAATCGTCGGTCACCGGATACCGTGGGACTGCATCTCCTTACGATTCTCCACTTAATTGTGTATCAGACCTTTAGATGGAAGGCTTTGTGTGTGAACTCCTAAGAAAACAACTTGCTTCGGTTTGGGCACCCGGGCATTATCACAGCCCTCACACAAATCAAATGAGGTTTGTGTGGCGCATATGTATCTGGTGACCCTTTGTACCAAGATTTATGTGTTTAAATAAACAATCACATAATACAGTCACCACAATATTGTATAAAATAAATATAAATACTACTTACAAGCCATATACGAAATCCTTGAATAATAGATCGAATACATAATAAACATGAAATAATTCCAAGTATTAATGTACAACTATCAATTAGAATAACTAATAATCTACGTGACAATATATATTTTGTTTCAATGGATTGATTCAATGTTGAATTTAATAAATTCCAAAAATGTACTAATAATTGATACTTTTTCTCATCATCATCATCATTATACTGTTGGGTAATCATTGAAGTAGAAGAAGAGGAACTGGAACCAGAAGAGTTTTGTTGAAATGATGAATCCATTATAGATTGATTATGATGTAATTGTTTTGATATATCAATACATGGAGTTGATGCATATGGTGCACGTAACATAATTTTCATTTGACCAGATTGTGAAGGATTTTCTAAAGATATCTTTATCAATAAAGTAAATTAAATAATAAATACTACATTCTAAGCAAAGATGGATAATGGATAGCAGTGGAATCTAGGAGGCGCGTGTCGTCCTATTCACGACCGTTGCTGCTACCTTGATGTGGTGGTCGGGCTTGCCTATCGTGATGAACCAATCGAGCTATACTGGCTAGAACAATCGTTCCTCAAGCTCCTACCATACCAGACAGTTCGGTTGAAGAGCGTTAAGACTAAAAGCAGGCGTCGCAAGGTCCGAAGGCGAAGTTGTACTTCTGACTGTACAGAGTTGTGACAGCAATAAGGTGTTTCATTCAGGCAACCAGCATGACAGCGATGCTGCCTTCTCACAAGGAGGGGTGGAGTTAGAAAAGGTCAACCCTAAAAATGCACACCTCGCCTTATCCCACGGATTTCCATCTCCGGCGGTAAGGTCCCAACAAGTACGGAACTAACACAAAAACTACCCACAAAAAGGTCTTATGTGACCGACCTCAAGCGGTTGTCCCTTGGACACTGCGGTCACGCTCACAGGTCATTAAGACCACTTCTAACCCAATTCCCTTTTCAGGTACCTTTAGAGGAACCCTTCCACGGTATAGGCAACCGGAAAATGATAACTGCCCTCATACCTCTAACAGCACTCAAGACCACTGTATTCATAATCAATCGACTGACTGACTGTTTCGTCCTATTCGGGACTTGTCAGCTGGATGTACCTACATCTCATTCATTCATCGAATATGTAAATATGAGTCATTCTTTATTTGGAAAGATTAATGGTGAAACGGGGTTCGAACCTGTAACTTGATAGCACGAAATTGAACACCTTAACCACATACTATGCTATAGCTTCACGTAGATTACATAACAGTTTATCCAGATACAAGCAGTATATCTACTTTATACTTGAGTAAATTATATCCAATTATCAACAGTTTGAAAATTTCCAAAGAATGTTCATAAACAAAGAATATTTAAGTGGCCGAGTGGATAACGCGATGAAGCGAAAGGTATCGGGTTCGAGTCCAAGAGTGAACATCAACTCTGAGATGCAGGTACATTCAGCTGACGAGTCCCGATTGGGACGAAACGCGCATCCTGGATTCCACTGCTAGCCACTATCCATCTTTGCTAAGTGAACAATTGTTTACATAAACAGTTTGTACAGTTAATATTAGTAATAGTAATAGTAAACTTGTGCACCCGTTAAGACATAAATACTTCAAAATTGCGTTATTTGTAAACTAGAAAGGTCATTTAATAAAGGTCAGAATGATTTGGAATAAAGTGTCAAGTTGTAATCATTATAACAATAATACAATAAATCATGTGAATAGAATACATTAGAACTTGATGTAAAACAGGGAAAGTTTTATCTTTGTAGAACCAGAAGCGTCTGGTTGCCCTCCATGTGCATCTACCAGTTCACCTGCTCTTGTGGAGCAAGATACATTGGCTGTAGCCAGCGCTCACTTTCAACTCGAATACGAGAACATAACCCAGTTTGGTTCTACAACAGTGAAAGGAAAGCAGTTAGGAGTTCTATACTTGAACACCTAATCAACTGTAATCATTCTACAGAACCACAGTTTGATTTGAAGATTGTTTATATAATTCGTTAAAAGTTTTATCAATTTCAATATGATGTTCACTATCTACCAAATGTGAAAGGATGACGCTGTTAATAGATTCCATGATTCCTTTTTACTAGCACATGTTTACGAGCATACAATGGTTAAAACCCTACGAGTACGGCCATTATAGATATACTCAGATATATTTCTGTTGTTTTAAAAGTTCACCAGATACCTACCTAAATTGGATATTATAAACCTCCCAACTCCACTTGTGTCTATATCTTTGTTAATCTACACATTTACATGAATACCTCTTTATCATGGTTATCTTGACAACACCTCTCTCAATACATATTATATTCACACAATGTTATTATCATTATTACCTAGATTATCAAGATGATGACGATGATGATGATGATTACAACTTGACATTTTAGTCCAAATCATTCTGACCTTTATTAAATTACCTTTCTAATATACAAATAACACAATGTTGAAGTATTTATAGTCTTAACGGATGTAAAAGTTCACCATTTTGTTCAAATATATAACATTGTCAAATACATTAATACATGCCAAATTGTGGCCTTTGTATAATATCACAATATTTATGGACTTATATCAACTAGGTTTCTGGTATAAATCAATAGGTCTTCAAAATCTGATATCGTTATGTTTGATAATGATAAGTAATCATACTTTCTTTGTAGAATAGTCGATAGAATCTCGAATCTTGCGATTGCGGGATCGTGGATGCGCACTGCCACTGAGGAGTCCCATAATAGGACGAAACAGCCGTTCAGTGCTTCCAGGTTTTCCATGGTGGTCTAGCTTCAATTGACTCATGATCTCAACTCTATAAAATTTGATTACCACTAAAGAATTAGATAAACAAAACATCGACAACTTAGTGAATTAATCGTAAATAGCTCAGTCTTATAAGTCAATTATGGCTCAAATAGATCAGTGATAATGTTTCAGACCGTGCAGTTGAATAACAGTGGTTCTCCTACAGGAGCTAAAGGCAAGCCTTGTAAATGAGTGCCAACTAGCATAAAATACAAGACAACAGTTGTTTTTTCCCAACTACCTTCAACTAATTAATATATCTGTGTTTGATAACTGGATGTAATCCATCTCCTCTTTGCATTTTATAGTCTTTAATCTTCTTTAAAATCGCTGATATTACTATCATTACAATTTATTTGGCATCTCATTGTGCTCATTCGATATGACCATTTGAGCTAACCCATATTTTTACCAGGTTGTATGTTTATTATGACTGTGTATATTATAGTATTCCGAATTTTATATTTGAAAAATGCTCCACGAAATGGTAGAACTAAAATAGTGTAAACTAAATAATATTGGACAGACTGTTCAATTAACAGTAAATAATGAAATGTACACATAAATGACTAACACCGTTGGATACCGGCTCAGTGGTCTATCGATTAAGTGCTCTGGCGTGAGACTGGTATGTCCTGGGTTCGAATCTCACGAGTGCGGGATCGTGGATGCGCACTGCCACTGAGGAGTCCCATAATAGGACGAAACGGCCGTCCATTGCTTCCAGGTTTTCCATGGTGATCTAGCTTCAATTGGCTCATGATCTCAACTCTATAAAATTACTAAAATCTCCACTAAACCCATTCTGATAAATGACTAATCTTGAATATTGTGATGACCTCAAACATCTAATAAACATCAAATAAATTTGGATCATTCATATGATCCGACTTCTTAATGGTTATTAGCTTAAAATAATAATAATAATAAATCTATCAATTAGGTAGTGAAAATTGATCATTTCAAATAGTCAGTAATCTTATCTTATAAATGGATTGTTCACTATGGAAGATGCTATAATCTAGCGGAGACATAAGTACAGGTAAGTTCCGGGATCTATTAATGGACGATTATTCTATATATATTCTTGTGGTTTAACTATTGAGTAACTATATTGTATATATCTATATTCATCTTATTATAAGCTTCATTTTGACCCGTAGATTATTACTATACGATTTACTGTTTATTGATTATTGTCTCCTATGTTCACAGCCACATTTGGCTTGATCTTGTACAAATATTATTTTCTATTTTATGGCTTGATGTCCGTCTGTCTGGTATATATAAACCGAGTATGCTTGAAATAAATTATTCGCCTACCAGAAGCTGTAATTGGTGTTCTAGACTCAATTGGAAGAGCTAGGCGGACAAGGGACCAATAAGGACGCTAGACTGCTGATACTCGTCGAACGTCATTGATTTGTCACAGTGTTAAGATTGGAAAAGTCGTATTTCGATTGCTAAATAATTCACATGATAAAAAGCCGGATATAAAATTCATAACGAATCGGCATACGGCCTTCTTCTTTTAAAAGTCATAACAGAAGACATCATATAACTCAACTATCGGACGATGCTTGTGAGTGTGTGTGTGTGGATAATTAAGTCACATAAAGATTTTTCATTTAAAACAGTTGAAAATTGTTGATAGGATACTATGCTTAATGTATGTTTCGTAGTCATCGATACTAGTCAGCTTCATCTGTAAAATTAAGAGAACTAATGCTAACCCAGTGAGATTTAAACCAGAGCGTTAGAGACGTTACCGCTTATAGAATGACATCGATTACTACTCCCCGGTGAAGGAATAATGAGCAAACGTTAAAAACACATCCAAACTTAATAAGTAAATACATTCTAAAATAAAACATTAACAATAGGGTGTAGAAAAAAAGTTGTCTATCATACCTTAATCATAAAACGATAACATTCAGTGCTTTGAGTCCAATCCAACTGATAAATTGGCGGAGATAACAAATTGAAATGAATATCAAATCCAAGTAAACTGGAATTCCATGAGAAAAAGTAAGGGATAAAGTTAACCAATAGTTGATTGAACGACGATAAAGTGTATGTGAGAGAAAAAATTTATTATTCAGAAATTTTCCAAGGAACATGAAAAAAACGAGAAAACATATGGTGCTAAAAAAGATGGTTTTTGGTTGTTTCTAAGCTTCCCAAACAAACAATATACATGAATTATAATTCAAACCACTGCAAAAGCAAAAGGCTATTTGGACTTTGTAGCTAAGCGGATAACGCGATAGCGTTTGAAACAAAAGCTTTTGATTTTAAGTCTCAAAGCGAATATCAACTATGAGATGCCAGTATATCCAGCTGAATTATCCCAAATAGAACGAAATGCGCGCCCTAAATTCCACTGTTAGCCACTACTCATTTCTGATTAACATATTTTGTGGGTTAACAATGAACACTATTTCTGATCACCATAAAGTCAGATAGAACACATCATATGGCTTGAACGTAGATGCTGATTGTCAGTGTTCCATACTGAGAGAAGTGAAGCAAATAAAGATTACTTCTATAACTTTGACAAACAAAACTCTTATCTATAAGTTAGAAGGTTCAGTCCCATAATATCTTGTAATCACAATAAGTTTGAGCGGTAACTCAATGGTTACGGTGTTCGACTTTAAGCCACTTATTAGAAGTTTCGAATCCGATAATTAGATAAGATATATTCACATTAATGTCTCTATCAGTCAAAAATCCCGACAAATAATTTTACATTCAATACAAAATATTGAGTTGATTAACAAAATTATTCCCAATAAATGCAAATTAGATATTAAATAAGGATATTCTAACACTTGATAACATGAAAAATATATTTATGAGATTATTATGGAATAGTCATGGAATATTAGACGTCAAGCGGCAAAATTCTAAATAGTAATCATCAATTCACTCGGTATTGTTTGTTTGAATCTTTTCATTGATGTGTAGGACTGAAATTGATCAGTCTCTTATTTATTTATTTATTTATTTATTTATTTATTTAAACACATATATATTGGTACAAAAGGGCACCAGGTACATATGCGCCACACAAAATAATGAAAGTAGCAAGAGAAGGGATGAAAAGATAAGGCGGACTGAAATGTACAACCAGAAGATTCTTTCAGTTAGGAAAGTTAGAACCATTATTTATGTAGAAAGTAAAAGAAGGTTGCAGCAGGATCGCCACTGGCTTCTATTCTGAGCCATATCCGATAACGTCTCTAGCCACTGTGTTGCACTATCTCTCGGACCCCAACCAGGGAGCAGTGAAGGTCCAACAAAAGCTAGCCCTTTGCAGCTCTCTTTCATGCCACGACACCATGTCATACACTGACCTCCTCTCCGCTTTCTCCAACCAGTCCCAGAGTCGGCAAATAATGCACGACGTGGAAGTCTCTGGGACGACATTCGTAAAACATGTCCAAGTCACCGAAGTCGGTGTTTCAAGATGGTGACACCAATTGAATTATCGTCTCGGCGCCCAAACACACGATGCCGAACCTCTGCATTACTAACATGGTGTTGCCACTGGATGTCAGCAATCCTTCGGAGACAACGATGATCAAACACAGAGAGACGTCTAACATCCTCAACTCGGAGAGGCCAGGTTTCACAAGCATAGAGCAAAACTGCTCTCACCGACGCCTTGTAAATCCGATCTTTTACAGCCAGACTAACATCACGAAGGCGCCAAAGATGGCCCAGATTGGCATAAGCCGCTCTGGCTTTCACTATACGTGCATCAATCTCATCACTCATGCCACCACCAGCACTTATATAGCTACCTAGATACACGAACTTCTCAACTACTTCAATCTCCTCACCGTCCAGGGTGAGTACAGGATGAGAATCCTGCCAGTCTTGTAGGAGTACTTTGCACTTGGAGGGTGCAAAGCACATGCCGTACCTGTGGACACTGATTGCCAACTGATTAAGTGCGGATTGCATGCCTTCGGCATTATCGCACAGTAAGACAATATCATCCGCATTCTCGAGGTCGAGAAGTCGTTCTCCAGGCAACATATCCACACCGCAATTACTTACATCCATCAGAGCTGTTTCCAGGATGTCGTCGATGGCAAGGTTGAAGAGGAATGGTGAGTTCGGGCAACCCTGTCTAACCCCACTGCTCGAATGAAACAAGGGAGAAAGGTGGTTGTATGCCCTCACTCTGCCTGAGGTGTTCGTATACAGGGCCTTTAAGATGTTAATGAACTTCTCAGGCACACCATTCTTCAATAGACAATCCCAGAGAACAGTCCTGTCCAACGAATCGAAGGCCGCCCTGATATCAAGAAACACTACGATTGTTGGCCTGCGATAAGTATGACGGTGTTCTAACATTTGGCGCAGGGTGAAGATGTGATCAATGCATCCTCGACAGAACGAAAACCAGCCTGTTCCTCGCGATTCAATCGTTCTCGGGTTTTAAACAACCTACGAAGAATGATAGAAGCCAATAGTTTGGACGCGATCGAAAGTAGACTTATCCCCCGGTAGTTATTGCAGGAACAACGTGAACCCTTTTTAAAGATAAGGACGACTATCGACTCATTCCATGATGTTGGAACACTTTCTTGCTCCCAAACCTTTCCAAACAACGCAGTCAGTTCCTTAGCCAGAAAGTCACCACCATCTTTAAAAAGAGCCGGAGGTAAGTCATCTGGGCCCGGTGATTTATAACGTTTCAAGAGTTGGAGTTCCTTGCGGACTTCCGCCTCGTTTGGTGGATCAGTCGTCACCGGCCATGGGGGGCAGGACAAGCTGGTTGATGTTGCCGGAGCAGCAGGCCAGTTGAACTGCCCTTCGAAGAATTCCGCCCATCGTCCAAGACGTCGACAGATGTTAGTGATTGGCATCCCGTCATCCTAGTAGATTGTTTCACTCACACCAGACTTCTTGCTGCCAGTGGCTCGGATGAGTTGGAAGAGCTTCCGGCGGTTACCAGATGCAGCTGCTGCTTCCATCTCATTAGCACGCTTCGACCACCAGGCTTCTCGGTCCTTACGCAAGCTTTGCCCGATTTCATTACGTAACAGACTTCGTTTGTGATCAAACTCACGGTCACCCGGAGTAGACCGACGGGCTTCCATCAGTCGTAAGGAGCCAGAAGAAACCCAGTGCTTGTAAGCCGGACGTTTCGCGAAGCCGCAAGCGGTTTTACTCGCCATTTTCATGCAACCAATGCTCATCTATACTTTTCGGTGGAATGATAGCTAGCCTAGAGGCTAGCTCCGCTCGATACTTACTTGCAACAGAACTTGCAGACAGTTTACTAATATCAATCCGTTGGTGGTGGTCAATCCTTCGGCCACTGAAAAGTAAGGTGAGATTGGCGCAGACCAGGGCATGATCAGACTCCAGATAGGTACTCCAAAAGGAGCGGCAGTCTTGTACACAACCACGCCAGCTGTAGCTGATCGCGATGTGATCAATCTCAGTCCAGGCTTGGGATGCAGAGGGAGGACACCAGGTGGCACACCGGCGATGACTGTGCCGGAAGTTAGTGCTGACCAGAAACAGGTTGTGGTCTGTGCACAGTTGCAGCAAACGGTCCTCGTTATCTGTCCGGCGACCAACAAGTCCCCATCGGCCACCTAAACGACTCTCTTCTGTGCCTAGACGCCCGACCTGCGCATTCAAGTCTCCGGCGAGTACTACAATATCTGTCGAACGCGCCTTCTGGAGAAGAACTGTTAACTGGTGGTAAAACTCATCCTTCATTGCATCCGGGCTGCAATCTGTCGGGGCATAGGCGGAGATGACGAAAAGACACCGTTTCTCACGCCGATTTCTTCTCACTTTGATGAAACTTTCTAATCTAACAGCACATAACCGACTGTTAATGGGAATCCAATCGATTAGTGCTGCTTCAGCTCTAGCGCTTAGTGCGACACCAACGCCTGCAAGACCAGACGAAGATGCCACTGGGTCCCCGGATAAGCGCACGTGGAACAAGCTTTTCGAGGCGACAGATGGAGAGCGGATTTGTAGTACTTCACTAGAGTCTTGAATACGGATCTCGGATAGACAACAAACATCAACATTAAGACCTTCCAAAGACATAGCCAGCCCGATCTGTTGTCTGATATGCATTAGTGTGCGAACGTTGAAGGAAGCCAGCTTGAACGGCGTACGTGGTTTCAGAAAGACTGCCTCAGTATTCATTATCGGTGGAAGCATTCACTTTCAACCAGACAGTGACTGGAGATCGTTTAGATAGGACAGATTTTCCACCATGGGCGAGCTGCTGCATAAGTTGAAAAGTAAGTGTACACAAATTGGGGATAAAAGGGGGTGAGTTAGCGATATGGTAAATAATAATAATAATAAAGGCAATAATAATGTTAATTGTCTTGCTTTTAGTATGAGCAGGGATATTATCGTCAATAGAATTCATCATTTCATTCATTTGTGTGTGGGATGTGATACTGCCCTGGTGCCCAAACCGAAGCAGGTGGTTTTCATAGGGGAGCACACCCCGAGCCTTTGACCTAAAGGTCTGATCCACAAGGCAGTGGAGCATCGTGAGGAGATGCAGTCCCATGGTTGCCGTTGACGAATGACAGGTTCGTCCGCCATTCGTTCCATCAGGATAATGGAGCCCATGTACACCATTGGTTTGGAATCAGGGTTTTCCAACTCCCCTAGGTGGACCCTCCGTGTCCACCAATCCGGTTATAGCGCCGGACATTCGCTTTTCGTCCTCTCACTTTCGTAAACAACACCGGTGCCACGAGAAGGCAGTGAGTAGGACTTCCCTGGTAGAGGCTATATATTCGCTGGCCATGTGAGAGCATTTCGAGAGGGAGAGTAGACTCTCCCCACTCTCGGCCGTACCAGGGCATTTGGGGGCAATCAGTCTCTTATTGCTATATGTTCATACTGTGTGTATTGCCTCGATAAAGTCTTTATTCACAAGCATTATAAACAAAGATGAATAATGGCTAGCAGTGGGATCCAGGACGCGCGTTTTCTCCTGCAAACACATCCAGCCGAAGAGTCCCGAATAGGACGAAACGCGTGTTTTGGATTTTACTGCTAACCACTATTCATCTTTGCTTAGTAATCATTAATGTTTAATTGACATAGAGGGAGAGACTAAAATCGTTGCCAATTCTGGGATTAAATCAAATAAATGCTGAAAGTTCTTTTTTTATATGAAGACAGATTTCACATTTTGAATTATTACGACTTTTTCAGAGTATGTTTTATAAATTGGGATGTGAAACTCTCAGTTCTAGGAGTAAAAACACAGTTAAGACAACATTATGTACATTATTTACCAACTATGTACTTAAGTGATTCAACCACTAAAAGCCATCACCCCTATAAAACTGAAAGCAAATTATGCATAAGCTCGGTAACTTTAAATACCACCAGAGTTGATTATCATTTCTCGGGTCCCCATACCATTGAAGGATAATTCTTCTTGAGGTACCTGAAAAATAAATGGGGTTATAAGTGATCGTCACTATGTGGAAGCATGGCCGCACTGTTCAAGAATTAAACCCTTTAGGTCTAATCTCAAATTTTTTCGAGTGGTTCTACATGTACTTTCGAAAAGACTTGAAGCCGGAAATGCAGATCAGTGAGGTGAGGTGTTACATTTTTGAGGCATATTTAATCTAAACTCCTCCTCCCAATTATCTGAAGGAAGAACCGTTGCACATGTTGATTGATGGAAACAATACGCTGTCATCAAGTCTCTGTAAAGTCCGTAGTACAACTTCGCTTTCGGACTTAAAGTTTCCAAAAGCTTCTGAAATTTCCAGGCCATAAATAGTTCCAGACTTACGCCTTTTTTGTACATCAATGAATCTACGAAATGACGTTTTTTCACATACTTTTCACCTTCTACTTTCTGTTCGGTGTTCAACAGTAGATTTCTTGGAACTAGAGAGTGTGGTTAGGAAGTTGGTATCTAAGCCCGTTCATCAAATGCATAATCTATTATTATGACATGACTATTAACTATGTTTGGTTGTATGGACTCAACAAACAACAAAAATCTACATCTCATGACATGATTCAGTGAAATTGATCAGTAAATTTATCGAATGATGGATGATTAAAAACAAAGGGTTACACTTTTTTTTTCTCTATCCCTTTATCAGTGTACAAATCGATTTGTGCATGTGATACAATAAATCGAAAATTAATTTTTTTTAATGTTGAATAACACCTTGAATAAGTGAAAATTTAGATTGGATTATTGAACGAACCCGTATATGGATTAATTCTAGTGATAGCCGTTAAGCAATAAATATAATACTCGAAATTAAAGCCATGCATATTCATAGTTGAATTCACGAATTAATCTAAACTAGACTACCAGTGAAAATCTGGAGACACTAAATAACCGTTTCGTCCTAGTATGGAACTCCTCAGCAGCGCGTATTCACGATCCCGTACGCAGGACTCGGGCCCAGGACCTTCAGTATCGAGCGTGAACGCTCAACTTCTAGACCACAGAGCTAAGATCGATTAATGAATTCCACTGTGAAAACACTACAATCTCCACAAATTCCTATACCGATATATATAAGAAGAGAGAGACGGTTAAATACAGTTATAATGATTACAAATACAGCATTACCACGACGCGCTATGCTGACTAGTGTAGGGGATGGTTGGAAAAGAGTTAGGGGTGGCCAAACCAAAACGTGGCATCAGTGCTTGAAGTCACTAACTTCTAGTCTGAGCTATGTTGGTAGATGCAGACTACCTAGTTGGGGTCCGCTAGACTATCAATGGTTGGAGACTATAGGTGACATGACTCAGAATCGATCTCAATCGCGCAGGTGCATACACTCTTTATCATCCCTTAAACTATGAGATTAAAATTGCTTCATAACTTTCTTCCTTCCTACCCTATATCCTTATATACAACCTATCTTTTATATATTACCATCACTAAATTAACTACTACTACTATGAATTCGGTGTTCATCTTGTTGTGCTAACGAGGTATGGCAACTTGGACCGATACATATATGTGCCTGGTCCTACGTTGTACCTGACTGACTGATTGATATTAGAAATTTAGAAGACAAAAAGTGGATGGATCTCCATGAATTTCCTTCATTCTTTTTTAACATTTGAGAGACTGTACCTAGAAAATTCAAACTAAATAACACAATTTAGAACCAAAATTCAGTAGACTTAGGAATTAGAGTTTCGTGTTTCTATTACTGTCAAGCTTTTTTGCAAAATGTTTTACCTTTAAACAAAACTTAGTTTAAAAATAAGATAGTACATGTGATCCAGTAAATTTATTCTGATAGACGTAGTTATAAGAATGTATGAAGTATACTGTACAATTGATTAGATCAACTTACAATATTCTTAGCTGATTGATTCGACAGGACACGAACACTGCCTCAGACGTATCAATGGCCGTTTTATGTACTTCAAAATTGTTTTATATTTGGAAAATACCATGTAACAGAGTACTCTGTTACATGGTATTTTCCAAATGTAAATGTAGGTTGGAAGAAAGCTAGGGGCGGCCACACCAAAACGTGGTATAAATCCATGAAGTCGCTGACAAGTGGACTGAGCCATGTTGGTAGGTGTAGACTACCTGGTTGGAATCCGCGAGATGATATCAACCGATGGTTAGAGACCTTGAATGACATGACTCAAAATCGTTTGCAATGGCGAAGGTGCATCCACTCTTTGTGTCCTCCCAAATTATAATCTTCTGTATTCCTCATGTCCCTATCCTTTTTCTCTTTCCAAATTTATTTCACTGTATTATACCCCTTCAATAACATCTTCAAACCCTAATCTTTCCCATTACTGCTTATACTCTTACTACTTCTACCACTATGGGATTTGAATCGACAACTGCATCTCTGTGCTGATGTGGTACGGCAACTCGAACTGATGTACGTACGTACGAAGTTCTATGTTGTGACTGACTGATGGAACAAAATACTTTGAAGTATATTTGTTTTTTTAATGATATATTTAGATAACGATTAGGAGATATAAATGAAGTGTCTCACAAATTGCGAGAGATCTTATTGTATCCATATTGAAGGGTTAAGAAATCACTGAATCATTATCATACTTGTAACACATCTAGTTCAAGCATCAATAAGGTGTGTTTAGCGTGATAATTTTTTAAAGTAACGTATGTAAAAACCTGTGCCATACAATGACAATGATACTGCACAGTAGCATAGCTAACTAGTGACCAGTTATCAGTCTAGACACATAATCGGAAATCAACATTATTTACAAGATGTCAGTGAAGATAGAAATGGTTATCTAGCTTCTCACACTGAATAAATGGAATAAAAAAGTCTATGTGTACAGTAGTTGGAAAATTTTGGTTTAGAAATAGCTCCACATGAAAAATAAATGACTGAAAGCTACAGTTTTAGTAATCAGCTATTATGAGAGTAAAAACTATTTAGCCATTGTCTTCTGCAATGAACTTTGGGTTAAATATTGAAATGACAACCACCGACTGGGATTATCTGCATCATTTTAAACCTTACGGGTATTATCGATAAACTTTTAATAATTCAAATGACTGCTCAATATATTCATTAAAAATATCCCAACTTATGCATAGCACAATACAGTTCAAACTATATGTAAATTCTGATTTCCAACAATCATTTGAATATAGGACATACACATAGATTAAGAAGAACCAATCCATGTATAAATCAGAAGGGGGTTTCGTGGAGATTTTATTAATTTTATATAGTTGAAATCATGAGTCAATTGAAGCTAGACCACTATCGAAAAACTGGAAGCACTGGACGACCGTTTCGTCCTATTGTGGGACTCCTCAGTGGCAGTGCACATCCACGATCCTGCCTCGCGAGATTAGAATCCAGAACCTACCAATCTCATTCCAGAGCACTTAACCGATAAAAGGAAGAGAATTTCAAAATAAATTCTCATATCCTCTCAAAAAATAACCACTTGAACATTCTTATTTCAGTAGTCGAGTACTCACTAATACTATGTTGGTCTCTTTGTTTTTTTAAACATGGACGTCATGATTCGAACCTACAGCTTGACAATTATTGTTAGCACATTTACCAGATACAGTTTCCTGTGATTGAGCATGAACCACAATACAAATTTGAAAACCATTGATACAATTAGTTTTCCTAAACTAAAGCCAGTGGAGTGGAGCTTGAGTCTTCGATCTATGAGTTGAAAATCGAATGCTTTAACCATTAAACCATTGTTTCAATTCAATAACTGAAAGTGTACATAGTAAAAAGATTAATAAAGGAGAATTTATAATAAATGAATGAATAGCTTACTAATTAAAATTAATATCCAATTTATGATCCCGTAAAAATGTTTTTATTGAATTTCCATCAGTTAATTGTTCAAAATTGATTTGATTCACTTCAATGGATATACATTCTATTTAACAGATGAATAAATAAAGTGTATACATTTAATATAAAGTAAACGATAACAATAGTAGATATTATATTCTTATATGCAATCTTTCTTTTAAGCAAAGATGGATAGTGGTTAGCAGTGGAATCCAGTTTGACGCGCGTTTCGTCCTATTTGGGACTTTTCAGCTGGATGTACCTGCATCATTCTCTCTTTAACTATAATCAAACAAGTATATTATTTTACACATCGATGAAGAGTCTTTAATCTTTTGATAATATGTACAAATATATGGACCTGTACGCGACCGAGGACGGGAAGAGTCAGCTCTTCCTCTTTAGATGTTTCGGAATGGCCACGTGCATAGAACCACTGCTAGGGAAGTCTTCCTCACTGCCATCTTGTGTCACCAATGTTCTTTATGAAGTTAAGAGGACGAAAAGTGAATGTCCGGCTAGTTAACAGCGTGGTAGACATGGATTATCTATCTAGGGAAGTTGGAAAACCCTCATTCCAAAACAATGGTGAACATGGGCTTCGGGATCCTAGGGGAAAAAATGGTGTATGAACCTATTGTTGGTCACCAGCTACCATGGGACTGCATCTCCTTACGTTGCTCCACTATCTTGTAGATTAGATGTTTAGATCAAAGACTTGAGGAGTAGCCCTCCGAAGAAAACCAGTCGCTTCGGTTTGAGTAACCGGGCAGTTTCCTAGCCCTTACACGAATTGAATAATTTTTATGGCGCATATCTATTTGACACTTCCTTGTATCAATGTTTATATGTTTAAATAAACAATAAAATAATGTACATATTTAACACTTATTGAATTGTACTAGTTAAAAGATACACACTTAAATGATATTTACCAATATCATTATCATAAAGAAAATAGTATAGAATACTCAATGTATCAAAGCCTTCTGTGATACATAGACAAATAAAAAATAAGTGAACATATATTCATACTACATATTTGTTAATTTGTTTATTATCTTCTGAATAACTAATTTTATTCATTGAATAATAGTAATACTACTAATACTAATACTACTAATACTAATAATACTACTACCACTACTAATACTGCTACTACTACCACCACCGCTACTACTGCTACTACTACTACTACTACTAATAATAATAATGATAATAATAATAATAATAATAATAATAATAATAAAGAAATTCAAATCATAAGTGTTTTTTTCTTCCTTTTCTTCACCGAAATAATTTTTTTTCTCAAGTGTCACTAATCCATCATTTTGATAAGTGTATATGTGTGTGGTGTGCAATTTTAAAATTTATTATTATTATTATTATTATTATTATTATTATGTTTGACTGTATCAAAACACTGAAGAGTTGCAATCTCATTATTGTTTAGTTTATTGCACACTATTGTAAAGTACAACTAAATAGTTTATGGTTATTTTGTCCCTGCCCCCAAATGCCCTGGTACGGCCGAGAGTGGGGAGAGTCTACTCTCCCTCTCGAAATGCTCTCACATGGCCAGCGAATATATAGCCTCTACCAGGGAAGTCCTACTCACTGCCTTCTCGTGGCGGGGGTGTTGTTTACGAAAGTGAGAGGACGAAAAGCGAATGTCCGGCGCTATAACCGGATTAATGGACACGGAGGGTCCACCTAGGGAAGTTGGAAAACCCTGATTCCAAACCAATGGCGCACATGGGCTCCAGTATCCTGATGGAACGAATGGCGGAAGAACCTGTCATTGGTCAACGGCAACCATGGGACTGCATCTCCTCACGATGCTCCACTGCCTTATGGATTGGATCTTTAGGTCAAAGGCTTCGAGTGTGGCCCCCTAAGAAAACCACCTGCTTCAGTTTCGGCACCTGGACAGGATCACAGCCCTCACACAAATCAAATGAGATTTGTGCGGCGCATATGTATCTAATGCCTTCTTGTACCAATATTTATGTGTTTAAATAAAATAAATATTTCGTCCCAGTTTACGAATCATTCTTAACAGGTATTGACCTACTAAATGTTGTCATAATTATAAGTAGTGAGGGGATATTTTTATGTTAATATTCAGTGGAACAATAAACCTATGTATATATGGTTATAGGTAATTGATAAGAACCTATGACATAGAAATAAATCCATATTACTCTGTGTTATGTCTGTAATTTAAATTATTCAATTAAACCTTTTCAATTATCTTTTCAAGATTTATTACCAAAAGATGATATAGCCATTACTACTGGAGAGTGATTGGGTTAGATTTTGTAAACATTTACATAGACATTTGGGTTAAGTAACTCAGCAAGATCCAGGTATATTTAGTTGACAAGTTCACAATAAGGTAAAATAAATGCCACATATTTCACTGCTAACCATAAACGGAGTACTCAAACAGTTATTTCCAGTTCAGTGCCCTAAATGGTAATATCTTCACTCTCAAAAAGATCAGAACGGGTAACAATGAAGAGAACTAAGTGCTGATGAGTATATTTTGGGACCCTAATGTATCTGATATGTAATAACTCAACTGTACAGTTTGGAAACTAAATGTAATAACACAAAACATTCACAACGTAAAAGAATTGATATTAACGTCGTACATATGCTATTAGTAAGGATTGGAATTGAATGAGAAAATGAGGGAATGTGATTACAACGATAACAAACTCACTTTCTGACTCACGTATATATGATACACTGAGCATAGGATGTTTATTCTCATCTGTTGTAGGAGATACATATCTCATACACAGTTTCATTGTTCGATTCAATGAATCAAACATATAACCACCAATGGCTAATTCTTTTGTTTTATTGAACTGTATCGAAAATGAATGAAACGATTAAAATAAAAGAACAAGAGACACAACAAAACAGGACAATACAAATAAAACGTCCTAGATTTGATCCCTAGTGGGGTCGTGGATACTCACTGTAGAGTTCTCACATACAGGGATGAAACAAGTGTCCACTTGTGCTCCCTAGCTTTCAATGGTTGTCTAAAAAAGTGTCAGTCTCTTGATTCGAAACTCCAAATTTAACAACCTCTGCAAACAACCCTGTAAAAATTTTTTTCTAAAATTTCGTTTTACCTATATAGTTACGTTTAGTTGTCAAGTTAGTCTTTTCAATTATTATGGCACTTGATTACATAAACATACAGCAGAAGCTATAGGGATCCGAACCGACAATCCTAGTATGTGTGTCCAGAAGAAATTCTTGAAACACCTGCACATGCCCTGACCGGGTATGACTCAGTAAATGACTTTGTTAAAGTTTTCACATCCCGTATTTGTTTATCATTTTTTACTCTTTCGGTTTACATTCTTCGATATCTAATTATTTACACATTTCTTACAGAGAAATTTCAATTGTGATTTGTGATGATTGTTTTAAAGTCCATTTAATCAAATTCGACCTATTTTTTTAATGTTGAACTATTGACTAGGACTTTTGTAATTTTATTATTTTTATCACCACTAGTACACCAGTTTGGATGTGCAATGCTGAGTCCCATACTTGAACAAAACTGTGATCCAGCACTTAAAGGTTTTTAATGATGGTCTAACTTGGATCAGTTCATAATTTTGATGAAACAACTTAGGCCTAAATTCTTAGTCATGAACCTTCTTTAAAAAAAGAATGAATGTATGAAAATAAAATAAAATCTGTTTTTTACCTGGGTGATAGTATAACCAACATGTTCATAAAAATCATTTATTGTGTATACAGCATAATCACCAGTTGCTGGTGGATAATCTAATGTTTCATATTGTGAATCCCATTGACGTAAGTATAGATGACAAAATGCTTTATGTGATACATCACCAAAAGATACATGGGCTGCCCGATAAAATCCAAATTCAATTAACTTGGTTTTCGGGGTGGAAGAATCAAAAGAAATGGAGAGAAAGTAAATTCAAATATCGTGAGCTGATTAAAATTAGAAACTATGAACCATTGAATACCAGCTCAGTGGTTTATAAGCCAAGAGCGTGGCACGAGATCTCAGAGGTCTTTGTTTCGGTTTCCTATGGGTTCATGGATGAGGACTGCTGACGAGTCTGTTACTAAGATGAAACAGTTGTTCAGTTCCTCTTGCTTCTCAATTGTTATTCAACTAAAATCAGTCTGCGATGTAAACAATAAATTCAGCCATTTTCATAAACCCCTCATACTAATAAAAATAAACTAGATTAAAATGATGGTGAAACACCGATGGAAGACTAAAGAATGTGCTAAACAACTTCAAACATTTAACAACTTTAAAACCAAAACAAATCGCAATATTAGTCAGTACCACTAATGTGTATACAGGCTTTACTTCTGACCAAATTGTACATGTAATTTATATGCTGAGCACGAACTTGCATATCCGACTATCAGAAATACAGTATATTTTAGGGTTGGTGAAACTTTCTAACTGCTCTGATCTAATTACTCAAAGTGAGAATTTTCTATTTATTGGCTGAACGAGTAATTTAACCACTAAGCCAGTGATACGATAAGGAAAACCATAAAATAATATAATTATAAATGCAGAATTTAGTCTAAATATGTCAATTCAAGTTTCCACATTGAAAAACAAGACGACAGAAAAGTTCTGTGGAAAAAAACAACGAGAATTGAGCTACAGCTGTTCAGCACTTCTTGGCGTTCACAAGTCTCATATTTATATCACCTATCTGCGATGGAAACAAAAACACCTAAAAGTAAACTAGTGGAATCAGACATTATTTTTCGAGGCGAAATATCGCGTATGAAAACGGTTCGCCTAATAGGCTAACTGACTGATTGATTCAGGAATATATTACACATGATTATGACTATTCGTACATTTGTCTACTTATCTATAAAAACCATGTGACCATAAGGAATTGGTTGGAAACATCATCAGTACGAGGTAACAGTCAGATATCAGTAACACAGGCTCAAGGAAGAATGCGCCTCGGTCCGCGTTAACGTATCTCATAAATCTGACCTGTTTATCTGTATGACCAAAAAACGAATATGGATCTTTAATACTCGGTGTCGTCATAATATAGCTGTTCATGAAAAAAGCCAAGACTATAGACTTTAATACTATCTAATATGAACAGTAAATACATAAAATTAAGTATGAAGGATTCGGAAATTTGCGATCAAGGAACCAGTCATGCACACAAAAGATACAAAACACATATGAATAGACTTTGACGAACCACATAAAAAAATTTACCTGGATTGTAACTAATAACACCTTGAGAATCTGAACGAACAGTTTAAATGGAATACGTCGTTTGGCATGAAATTTACCAACAGGTGTCATAAAATGGTAATACAACCGACGACGCATCCAGCTTTCTACTTCGTTTGGATTTACAAAAGTAGAAGCTGTTGAATCCGCACCGTCTTCAGTAGTTGGTGATGATGTTGATGCTCCTGCTACTGTTGCTGCAGTGGGATAAACATGGTCACCACTACATTCATCATGATCAGAAATAAGTGGACGTTCTTCATGTGCTGAATCAGTGTGTACGTAATTACAATTAGTGTGCTCATGTGATGGATTGTTCAGTGGCTTGTTAAAATACTTAACGAGATGAAGCATTACTTTCTCTACGACACCCTGAGATCCATGCTTGTTAGTAGTAGTATTATCATTATTACTGATGCTGGAATCAGGATGATTCATGTGTGGAATATAAGATGGCGGCAAATGTAAACAGGGAGGCACAATGAGGTGTGTTTCATCAACGTTATTATCATTCCTTTCGAAGTCAGACTGATATAGTGAAGATTGATTACGATATATACTAGCAGAAAGGGGATCCGAAGACCTGTAAGGTTCGGTGTGGCCAGTATTCTCTACAATTTTCTCCTTCTTAAAACGTTTAGACATAGCAGGCGAGTACTGGAATTAATTTAAACAGAATACATTTGCTTATAATACCTGCAGGGGGAATTTACATCGGGAAAACATAATTATTACTAAACTGGTATTATTGAAACGTAAAATTATTCCAAAATTTTTAAAACATGAACAATAGAACAACAGACAGGTAAAAAAGTGAACAATGGCAATGTGTTAAAGTTACTCTTGTTTAGTCACAGAATTTCATGTCTGTATTGGTGATCAAAGGAAGTAGACATTTTCGAACCAAGCACACAACATTATAGGATATGAGTTTATAGTCATTAGTAAGAATTATCGCAAAGCGGAGTTTTTAAACGTTGAAACTACCAATACACAGCTTATGAAACAAATAGCTTGCCGCATAAATAAAATAGCAGAGTTGTAAATCAGAATAAATATATGTGAAATATAGTGAAACAATAATACAATTAGTGATCAGGTCAAATAGTCAGATATTTAAGGATATGTAAGCGCACTAATTAGCGAAATTCACTTTAAAAAATTATCATACACCGAAAGAACATAAACACTATACAACCACACGCTTCCTTCCTAACTGGAAACGACTTCACAGCTGAATTCTGTAGATACCGCCGCATTTTAACCTTCACTAACCAATGATTTTTGAATATGAAATACGGTTTCAATTTTTTCCGTTTTTCATTTTGAAGATAGTAGATCAAAAGTGTACATCAGTTTATTCTTCCACTCAATAGCTTGAAGAAACTTTTGTCATCTGCTTTCTAGATAATAAGTTGTGTATCTCCAACTCAGGGTCAGTAAATACGAAATCATTATTGGTGAACATCGCTAATGCTCCATCCACCCATACTTAGTAGAATATTCAAGCAGCACAGGTCATCTGTTGAATTCAGAGCACTAACGATCTCACAAGAAATCCACGTAAACATCTTGGTTAAAATCCCCAAACTATGAGACTCATTAGTTTATCCGGTGGTAACTGCTATTTTCCCCATAGTATTCAGAACGAGGCTCGGTATTTACTTAAGTCCCTCGCGTACCTGGTGTGATTATTTCACCCCATGGTCAGTTTCAGTTTCAGTTTGGAAAGGACAGGAGGCTTGATGGCTTGTGTTAGTCCTGGCAATGATGGTCTCGCAGCTGATTCAGCTTTTTTTGAAAGAGTCGACGGATGGAGCCTCAACCACGTGCTGAGGTAATGAGTTCCACTCGTTGATGATCCAGTCTTCAGTAATAAGGATAGGAGGTCTATTGACCTATTTTAATCCTTGCGGTTTGTTACACTGCAGAGGTCCAATCTCGTCTTGAATATGTCAACAGAATGTGCTGATATTACGTGTTCTGGTAGAGAATTCTAGTAATTCACTACTCGGTGCGAGAAACGGAACTCCAGATGTAGACGATTTGATCTCGGTTTTTGGACTTTCTTCGAATGTCCTCTCAAATGATCAGCCCTAGATGGGAGGAAAAGGTAGGACATGTTAGTACCAAGGTCATCGTTCAGGATACGATATGCCAATATTAGATCACCCCGTATTCGCCGGTAAGATAACGGAAATAAGTTGAGGTGTCCCAGTCTGTCTTCATAAGATAGGCCGGATAGGCCTTTTACCATTTTTGTCCTGCGGCTTTGGACTCGTTTCAACATATCCGCCTCATATTTGAAACAAGGACTCGCTTCTTGAATTCCATATTCCAAATGTGGCCATACGAAAGTTGAGTATAATAATCTAAACACTTCCTCATCCAGATACCGGAAAGATCTATGAATAGACCATAATACCCTATAGCCTTTTGCAGCAGCAGCCTTACAATGACTGGTTATTTTGAGATCATTACTTAGTATGACTCCTAAATTTTTATAGTTTCTTAATTTCGGCAACACTAGTCCACATATTGTGTAGTAACACGAATCATCGTAGTTATTTAATTGCATCACTACACTTTTGTTAGGATTTACTTCTAGTGAGCACCCGTTCATCCATGCCACTAATGAGTTAAGATCTTCCTGTAATACTATTCTGTCTGATATGCTATATATGGGTCTTCAAATCTTTATGTCATCGGCGGATAGTAGGACGGATGACTTAGCTATAGTTGGTAATTCATTTACATAAAGTAAAAAGAGAAAAGGACCGAGGATTGTGCCTTGGGGAACTCCACTTTTTACTGGTTCCCACGATGAGAGAGCTCCATTTACTGTTACCCTTTGTCTCCTGTTATGAAGAAAGTCACTTATCCTATCTATGATTGTATAATGAGTTCCAAAACTTTCCAGTTTCAATTTAAGACCGGTGTGGGAAACCTTATCAAATGCTTTACTTATATCTATGAGAATGACATCTACAGGGATATTGCGATCTTTTGCCTCAGCCCAATCTTCTCTTGCAATGAGAAGATTTGTCAAACGTGATAGATCTTTCCAAAAACCATGTTGTTCCTTGGACAAAAGATCATGTCTTTCCACGTAATTTATAACAGCCATCTTAATAATTTTTTCCATCAGTTTTACAACTGCACTAGTTAAGCTGACGGGTCGATAGTTACTAACTAAATCTCTACCCCCAGCCTTATACACCGGATTGATTATGGCGTCTTTCCAGTCTCTAGGTAATTTGGACTGCCGTAGGGACATATCAAACAGTACCGCTAAAGGTTCAGCAATTTTATCTGATAGGGCTTTCATAATCCGAGGATGAATATCATCAGGACCACTGGACTTATCAGATTTGATGTACTGAAGTAGTTTTAAGACAGTAACTTTCTCAATAATTACAAGGTCCATCAACAATATGCCACAATCACAATGAACGGGTGATCGTTCCTCATCATGGGTAGAAAAAACTTTACTGAAATATTTCGATAAAGCTTCGGCTTTTTCGGTACCATTTCTTGCCAAAATTAACGGATTTTCTTGTATCGAAAGTGATGGGATTCCATCACTTCTCTGAGTTCGCCTCTTTATATACGAGAATAACCGTTTTGGACTATATTTGCAATCCCTAACCAAATGTTTTTCATATGACCATCTAGTCCTACTAATTAACGCTTTACAAGTATTTGTAATCTTACAATAGCTGGATCTGTACTGCTCTAAGCCAGTAGAGATGAACATATTCCAGTGCTTTTTCCCACGCCTAAGAAGTTTCTTGTCTTGTTTATCTATCCATGGTGGACTATTCGGTCTACGTGGTACCAAGTATGGTATAAACGGGGACGTGACTGCACTAAACTTGCCTTTAAATATAGACCACGCCTCTTCAACTGATGAGCTAGTATCTACTGTCCAATCTATCTTAGCAGCAAAATCCTGAATGGCTGGTATGTTAGCTCACAATATCTTTGGGCGAGGCTTAATCTGATCGTATATCATGTCGCTAGTTCTAAAAGTGAAAGATAAAACAGCGTGATATCTATTTACTAACGGGGGAAGAATATTTAGGTTGGCAATATCCTCAGTCTCATGGGTAATTACCAAGTCCAACAGAGAAGAAACTTGGTTTACACCAAAACGTGTAGGTTTGGATACATGCTGTACTAATGCATGCTCCATTACTGTTTCCAAGAACCTGCTATTAAAGGAGTTTATAGATCCTTTCGTGGCCATCTCAGTCCAACTAATTTTGCGTAAACAACTTTTTATAAATACTTGTACCTTCTTGACGATGAATTTAGTAGTTCTCCGCGTTTCAGCTTTGTATAGTAGGACTGTCTTGACATTCGTATTGAAGATTCTAACTTTGAAGTTAGTTGACAGTTGTTTTGAGTTCCATATGTTCTTCAACTGTTGACATGCCGCCCTTGCTTTGCCAATCTTCCCCTTTACATCTGCATTTGTTCAAACTACACATAATCCTAAATTTTCAGCTTTTTTTGAACCACCTACAATTATACAATTCCTTATCTACTCATACCTTATTTACGCTTATCTCCTTTAACCTATCGGAATGCTCTTGCTTGAAAGGTATCTTAATAAATTGGACTAAGTAGTCATACCTTCACTATTCCATCACAAATGGCTCAACGTCAACAGACATGAACATTGTCTGCTACGCTTCTCTTCTTCTTACCCTCTTCTTCAGCCCCTCGATATATGCTACTGAAAAAAACACATAAGACAGGTGATTTCGTCCTGCTCCATTAGTATTGCCTCGGATGTGTCAGAAGGATATAAGACCACAATATATAGAAGCTCGCAGATTTACTCGGATTTGCCCGCGACTATCAGTTGCACACCGCAACGTAACCTCCACAAAGCGCTCCAACTATCATACTGACAATACGAATCTTACTAACATTATTTACATTCATATGTGAGAAATGTTACACCCCATAATTTTATGATCAATGCACCTTATAAAATATCAAACCTACTGGGAGACCCACCGCAATGAAGTCTGTATCTCCTGTAACAATTTAATCTTGTGTGTAAACTGGCATGACTCATGTAACAGACTGTTATTCGAAGACAAATTATTATTAATAAACTATGAACGAATTTTTTTGGGAGTCGTGTTCAATGCTCTCAATGGACGAACCTTAGAGCGATGCTCAAGTGACGTTGGAAATGTCCACCTACTAACTAGAGCTAAGCGAGGATTGTAAAGCGGCATTAGGGGCCAGAAGTATGAGTTACGCTTAATTGTTAAGGTTAGGGACTGGATTCATGGTTTTCATCACTAAATGATATCAGCCAAAATTCCAGAACGATATTTAGCCATATGGATGGTGAACTTCGCTCCTGAATACAGGGCCGGTTATTGTAAATCTGATTGTTTCGCCCATAAAGCATAGTCTCGTCAATATGTCTCTTCACATTGTAATACATTTTCATCTTTACCAAAATGCTCTTAGGATTGTGTCGTTTAGAGCTCTAGATAGCAAAGAGTTGCCGAAGCACTGGAACCAAACTTGGTCTGCAGGTTTGGCCAAGAATTTTTAACTTATGTGAGGACAGTCTCTGTTTCCGCCTTACTACTTTCTTCGAGTCGTCATTTATTAGTTGATAGAATAGTTGAGACACTAAACAAAAACACAACATAGATAAAGCTTTCAATAACAGACGAACTTATTTGCCCTCCATTGTTATGAAAACCATGTAAAGGGCTCAATCTGAATACATCACTCTGTTCCA